TCAAGTCTGGTTGTTTATGGAGCGAGTCAAGTCGGGCCTGACCAAGAAGTTAGCCCACCGATGGCATGGACCATTCAGGGTGAAGAAGAAGGTGGAAGAATTCGCCTATGAATTGGAGTTACCCGACAAGAGTGGATATAGGTTCTACCCAGTGGTCCATGTATCACGTCTGAAGGCAGTCACCGAACTCGGCGGAAGACCAAAGACGAGGCTGATCGCCGACCTCGAAGAGACTCAGCGATTTGACTTTGATGAAGAATTACTGCCTGAAGACAGCTGGGAACCAGACACAAGTACAAACCAGTATGAAGTCGAAGCAATTCTCGACGACGAGCTACCATTATCCACAAGTACGTCACGATCACAACGGAAGTTTAAAGTTAAGTGGGTCGGCTACGATGAGCCTACTTGGGAACCACTGTCGAATTTGTCATGCGGAGGTCTCCTGTTTGACTATCTACGACAGAAGAAGCGCGAAAACCGTCTGCAAATGGTGCAAGTTGCAGATGAGGATTAACAGCTATTGCACCAAAAGTTACACCAACTCGGCGGACGACACAGGCCGAGTTGAGATGGAATGCTACTGTGTCGAAACTACATATACTGAATAATTACGAAATGAAGTCCTGAACGATACCTACGGGACGCCCAGTCAAAGGAAGAAAACTAAAAAGTCGGCGATCCGGATTCCAAGTGAGTTGAACCCGACGGAGACAACTGGGAAGAGCTCAGCGAACTCGACGATTGGGGACGTGGCGTCGGAGCAGACGTCACCCCTTGGGAACTTGCGGAAGGAGATGCAACATTCGCAGCAGTGGCAAGAAGTATCATCGCCGAGCTAGCCAACGAAGCTGATGCCGAATCAGGTGCCTCAGGACCCGACGCGGCGGAAGTGGGCTGAGGATCCGTTCCACTGGGGAGTGGGGTGCCGAACAGAGACATACTCGGAGACGCGCCTCGGAGATTGGGAGAACCCAACCCATCGTCCGCCGAGTCGTCATCAGACGCACGCTCGCCATCTGAGCCGAGCTCACCGGTCGAAGACCCTTGACTAGCTGAGGGAACCACACCAGGACCAATAACGGAACTCGCCACTGGAGCATCTCGGCGAGGATGGACAATCAACTCCAACCGCCGAGTTTCACCAGCGGGAATGTTGAGAACCTCAGGAAAGCGAGACTCCAAGACACGACACAGCCGGGCGTTGAGGAGAAGGTCGGACGGATCAAGCCCAGGAACTTGCAAGCCACCGCCAGCAGCAGCAGCCATGTGAGGATCGTGCATCGGAATAATACCATTCCGACGGATGAGCCGCTTCTGGCGCAAGATCACCGCTCGCTGCTCAGCGATCACCGACTGAGCGTGCCGCAAGGGTTGAGTACCGGTGGAACTGTACAACCGCACCGACTCCTGCAGCTGTTCGAAGTGTTTGGAAGCGATGCCCTGAAGAGTGACGAACGCCGCATCCCTCTCAGAAATGGATCGAAGAAGGACGTCGATCTCGGCGTCCCGATCCAAGACTTGCTGATGGTGGAGCTGGGCCTGACTCAACGCAGCGTCGACCTTGCTCTGCTCAGCTGCGATGGCCCGAGCAAGTTTCGCCTCACTCAGAGCTACAGCCTTCCGCAGCGACGCGAGGAGATTAGCCGATTGCTTGGCAGCAGCCTCCAATCGAGACACTTGCTGTTGGAGCCGACGAGAGCTGAGTTGACAAGTCGACATTGCTGAGAGCAAGCGAGTCCAGTCGCCGAGTCAATGCGCGGGTTCTCCTTCTTGAACAGCTTGGGTTGTCAGCTTGGAGATCGCCGATGATCTTTGGGGTAATCAAGAGCGGGCGTAATTGCCTTTCAGCATATCCAACAGTTCCCCCGCGGAAGCAGCATGCAAAATCGCTCGCCGCTGTACAGGATCGGAGGGTTCCACGGAAACGAGTGAATCCGTAAGCCATGAGCCTCGCCAAGAAGGTCAATTCTTCTCGGCGATCATGCCCTTGCTCGTTAATTCTGGCCATGAGGGAGTCAAGACTCACTGGAGCAGCCGAGCTTGGCTGATTGGTGGCGCCCGAAGTGGTGTCGCCTGGCAAGCTCGGTGGACCAGGAAGGCGCACGCGAGAAGACCCCGCCGACTCCGCGTCAGACTCATGGGAAGTTGTCAGGTCGACCAGCCCAGCTTCATGCCGGTCGCTGACCCCACGAGTACCGACGGGTCGAGGAATCGACTCAGCTGGCACGCCTTCACCTCGACGAGGAGTTGGAGAAGAAGGATGGTTCCACGGGTTGTGCTAGAACAACATGCGAAGAGTAAGGAGCTGCCAAGTGAGTGACAGCGGAAGCAACGAACGTACCAAAGAAGGTGGTGGGGAGCCGCGAGACGTCATCAGCCGAGTACGGACCAACGGTGGCAGAACAAAATGAAGGATTAAGACACTCACCAGCTCGGCTCGTATCATAACCGGGGCAGTTGTGGTGTAGGGGATTTCCCGATTCGACCATACGCCGACCTACTTTAGGTCAAGAATCGGCTCGGTCTGATAACCCAGAGCTTAGGAGCCAAGGATCACGGTAAGTACTCGGCGATCTGTCCGGATATGCTATCCGGATAGCCGCTGAGCTCAACGGCCGCCTGAAGAGTCGGTAGAGATCCGAAACGACTACATTTCACTAGATATTTGTATGAGAAGCATAGGATTAAATAGGAGGAGCCGAAAAGGCTCCCAGAAGATAACAGAGCAGAATTTTCCTAGTCCAAGACACGTGTACACTTTTCCGGTAAGTCCCTGCATAGGGCTGGATTATGCCTGCCGTCAATACTCGAGAGGCATAGCTTGTAGGGTATTGACTGGTAGCGCCAAGAGATTAGGTCGGTCCGGGTAGGACAAAGTCTCGCTACGCGCGAAAGAAAGTCCCGCATACTCAGCGGGCCGGTACGTCGGATAGCCCGGGTGCCGTAACACTTCTAGCTGAGCAGCCTCTGCGCTCGGTGACCTGTAAAAGCGCTCGCGCGCCGTCGTCCATCCTTTGGTGGAGGGCACAGGGTTGTGAACGAGCTCAGCCGAACCAAACTCGGCGGAGCCTCGGAAGTGATCTGACTTGGTTAGTCGGAACCGAGTGGAAGCGAGCCACTCGTCTGTCCCGGAAGGGCCGGACCGCGAGGGAACCACCCTCTGCGCAGGCCATACAACCGCCGACCTAACTCGGCGATTCGTTGTGGTTTGTGTAAGGAATCCACATCTGACGATATTTGTGTGTTCTACTACACCACAAGTACCAGCCTGCTTGTGGCTGTACTCTTTATAGAGGGAAATTTGAATCGCCTACTCCACAGTAGTCGCTTGCACCCGGAATAGCTGGGTGCGAACAGGAACTACCTTCAGGCCGTCCATGAAGACTGTTGTCTTGATGTCTTCAGGCAGCGGATTCCCTGCCAGAGATGCCACCAACGTGCGCATCTCTTGCACGTACTCCTGCAGTTCACATTTACCTTGCTTACACGCGAGAAAGCGTGAGCGCTGGCGGAACTCGTTGTTCGCCGGTAGGAACACGGCTCGAAGCTGTTCACACAGCTAAGCCCAGGATGCAAAGCATCCAGGAAATGTCGTCTCCCTGGTGTATGCCCAGTGTTTGGCACGTCCACCAAGGTTGGCCAGGGCAAAAGCCACCCGAAGTGGCTCGTCCGAGATGAGACCCGCTTCATGGCGATCTCCACCTCACGGACCCAGAAGTGAAGGTTCTCACCTTCCATCCCCTCAAACGCGGGGACCTTCAGCCATACCAGCTTAGGCCTGGTTGCCTGGGGAGCGGCCATCGAGGCCTCCAAACTTCTGCGGACGTGAGCGATGAGACCACGCTCGTAGGTCTCAAACGCAGCCACGCGCTCGCGTTGCTCGGCAGGCGTTGCCGCCGCCAAGCTGCGAAGGACATCTTGTCCAAAGATGCCTCCTATCTTCCGAGCAGACTCGTACTGTGAGGCGTTCAAGCGAGGAAATCGCTTCGGTCCATCGTGGCTCAAATGTTGAGCGTACAGAAGATTCAGGTAGTTCAATCTACCCTACTCTTCTTCGTACACGATATACGCACGTAACAATAAAGCTAGAAACCTGTTGAATCATTTGGTTCGGGGTCTCGCCAAAAAAGCCTTCGACGTCTGAGCGTGTGGTCATTTAAAGGCGGTAGGGATGGGGGTACCTATGGTTGCTGGACCCGATGTATACCGCAGGCAAATAAGATTTGGTTTAAACGAGTATTTAGACATGCGCATCTTACATCAGCTCCAACTGCAAGCGATGCTGACGCAGCTTGAAATCGCTAAGTTGACTGTGTTGCCAGAAGCTGGAACGGCGTCTAACGCCGCTATGAGTGCAGGGAGAGGAACAGCATAGTGTGATTTCGCGCTGATCAAAACACATTGAGCCTTCATTAGTTATAAGAAGAAACTGAAGCTGCGACAGAGTCCCATAGGTAAGATAGTTCTGGTGTGCATCTACCTACAAAATGTCACTGCTGCTACAACGAGGGAAACAAAATCAGCAAGTTCTTCTATTTATAACCACCAACATTTCTAAAGTATTTAGATTTTGATAGCTAAACCTATTTTTAAAATAACTAGCTGAAAATGCTTCATGGCCATCTTGGCAAGCTTAAAAAAAAATCTGTCTTTTTCGCGCTCGCTCAGCGGATCGGGCCTCTCGGCCTTTTCTGTTCGCCTTCACCTCAATCTCCTTAAGCTCTAACATTTCATCCTCCTTATTGGCTTTCTTCTACGTGTCGTGTCCGTCCTGCATTCTCCATGGCAGGATGAGGTGCTATCAGTGCTGCGGCGTCATCGACCCCCGTTTACGTTTCGCGGCTTCATTCTTAGCGATCGCAGCTCGAACGTGAACGTCGATAAGAGTAATTAGCTTATTGAGAAAAAGGGTTTCTTCGTCTCCTCTTCCTAAACAGCCGAAGCAGCCAAAGCAACAGCGTTTTGCTTCGTTCTTGCCGCTCAGCTTGTCTCGAGAAATGCTACCGTCGCGGACAAGCTGGGCGGTAAGTTTGCCCCGCTTTACTGGCTTCAGGGTAGGTTTAATGAGGCTTACGCAGGAGCGGAGGTCCTACGAAGGGCCCTTAATCGAAGGGCATTATTGCAGAAAGGCACAACAAAAGACATCTTGAAAGGGACAGGTTGTGGTCGTCGTGGTAAAATCGAAAGTCTTTTTAAAAAACGTCTACAAAAGATGTAAGCTTAGTACCGATAGTACTCATGAAACCAGGAAGTATTGTCCAATCTAAGTAGTACTCATTTTCGTATTCTTCTTCAGGTAGTACTTTCATTATAATAACAGATTACTCATTTTGCATTTAAACTACTATTCAGAAATGCTACTGAAGAATTGACCACCAGAAAAGCCCTTCTTTCGCTGCGATCTTCGTCAATACAGCTCGAAGTATGTGGCGCTCCGTCGCCAAGCAGATGCCCGTGCTGAATCGTGCGATAGCGCGCAGCTCGCAGGTCGTGGCGATGCCCGTCACCTGTCGTGTGTGTACCGCAGCCCCGCTTGCGTCCGTCGTCCAACAGTGTGCGTCCGCATCGCTGCAGACCCGCACACTATCGTCCAAGGCCAGCGATGACTACGCGCTGAACCTGGCCAAAGTTATAGCCCCGGAGGCCACGCTTGAGGAGTTTAAGCAGCTGTATCGTACGCCTGGCGCCAAGCATACGACGGTCATCAAGATCGGCGGCGATGTGATCATCCACGAGCTCGAGACGCTCATCGAGTCGCTTCGATTCATGAAAGACACTGGTCTCTTCCCCATTCTCGTGCACGGCGCTGGCCCACAAATGAACACTGAGCTGGACAAACAAGGCGTAGAGCCTCAATACGTAGGCGGCAACCGCGTCACGGACCAGAAGACACTCGACATCGCTAAGAAAATCTTCATCGACACCAACGCCACGCTCGTGGCCGCTCTTAACAAGGCCGGACTGCCGGCCAAAGGTATCACCAGCGGCGTCATCCAGGCCGACTTCAAGGACAAGGAAGTCTACGGCTTCGTGGGCGAGGTGAACACCATCCACGGTGACCCCGTACAGGCTGTCATTGATGCCGGTGAGATTCCCGTGCTGTCGTGTCTGGGCGAGAGCGCCGACGGTCAGACACTCAACATCAACGCTGATGTGGCTGCTCGCCAGCTGGCCCTGAACCTCCAGCCACTCAAGACCATCTTTGTGAATGCTAAGGGCGGCTGGATCGAAGACGACGGTACTAAGCTGAAGACGATCAACATGACCAAGGACTACGAACGCATGGCCGCCCGCGACTACACTGGCCGTCAAGGTACACTGCTCAAGCTGAACGAGATCAATACTTTGCTGCACGGTCTGCCGTCGACTTCATCGGTGGTTCTCACGTCGGCGTCGGAGCTTATGCGCGAAATCATCAGCAAGAAGAGCGCCGGTACGACGTGCATCAAGGGCGAGAAACCTGCTGATACTAGCGCGAAATCCGCTGCCAAGGTGTCGGCTATTCCGCGTGGCCCTAACGGCAAGTACCGTGTGGGTCTGCTCGGCGCTCGTGGATATGTTGGTCGTGAGTTGATTCGCGTGATTGGCCGCCATCCCGAGCTGGAATTGGTGTGTGCTAGCTCTCGTGCGTTGGAAGGCGAGAAGGTGCTGGATGTCGCTGCGGCTCCTCCTCTTAACCCGCACACCAAGCTTCCGGCCAAGCCGGTTGAGGACGTGATGCTGAACATCGATCCTGAGCTCAAGTTCTGCGAACTCGGACTGGACAGCATCCCATCATCCCCGTTTGGAGAGAGTGTCGATGTGTGGGTGCTGGCTCTACCCAACGGCTACTGCGAGGACTACGCCACGGCTCTGGATGCGCTCCGTCGTAAGGACAAGATCATCATCGACTTGAGTGCTGACCAGCGCTTCAACGCCGAGTGGACTTACGGTTTGCCGGAGGCTCCGGGTGGTCGCACGCGACTCCAAGGCGCCACGCACATTGCGAACCCGGGCTGCTACGCCACTGGTGCGCAGGTCGGATTGATGCCGCTGCTTGGTGGCAAACCGGAGGTGAGCGGCAAATTGGTCGACGAGAGCGTTCCTCCCCACGTGTTCGGTATTTCTGGCTACAGCGGCGCTGGCACAAACCCTTCTGCGGCCAATGACCTGAACAAGCTCCAGGACAACATCATTGCCTACAAGTCCGTGAAGCACATTCACGAGAACGAAGTCAGTCACCAGCTAGGCACGCCCGTTCGGTTCATGCCGCACGTGGCACCGTACTTCCAGGGCATCCACCTCACGGTGTCTGCTCAGCTTGCTGACAACGGACTTATTACCTCGGCCAAGCAGGCTGAGGAGCTCTACCACGAGTTTTTCGCGAGTGAGGCTTTGGTCAAGGTCAAGTCCGACATCCCGTTCGTCATGGACAACGCGTACCACCCGCACGTGGCTGTGGGCGGCTTCCAGCTGGACCCGGACACGGGTCGTCTTGTGGTGATTGCCACCATCGATAATCTCCTCAAGGGTGCAGCTACGCAAGCGGTGCAGAACATTAACGTTGCCCTGGGTATCGACGAGTACTCGGGCATCGACCTTGAGTAGACATTTTGACCTATCCTTTCGAACTCTGCGAAATTCTACGTAGTAATACTACCAGGAAAAAAAGACAATGAAACAAGCCACGTTCTTTTGCTTTTACTGTTTTACTACATACTTTTCGCTGAAAATACTCGCGATACTTTCATGTTTTTGCAGCTTCTACAATACAATTACTTATGGGCAGAGCTCCTGCGAGAGAGGACTGGTCCAGCGCCTATAACACACCGCATGACGCAAATCATTGGCTTAACACTTAGCGACACCAAGAGCAGATCCTTGGGTAAAATTTTCGATGTGATCGAGGTGGCGATGGCGACTTAGTACTGGAGGATGGGATCACCAACGCGGTCGATGATGGGAACCGTGCACTTAAGGTCGAACACCTTGCTCAATACTACTTTAAACACTTTCTGCACGTTGATGGAGTGCGAGGCCGACGTAAAGATCAGCGGCGCCTTCATGGCCTTAGCAAATTTGCGAGCCTTGCAGATCGAAAGTAATCATAACGCAGTCAGTATCACTAGGAAGATCAAATATTTGATCAGTACGCACCTGTTTTGTGATATCTTCCTGTTCTTCCGCGGCAAAGTTGGCAAAATGGTCGTACTTCATTCCCACTAGGAACGGGAACGCATTCTGGTTAAACAAATTGTAAGTAAGTCATAAGGTTTAAACATTCACACAAGCCTCCAACAATGTCGCACCTTGTTGATAGAGCGCACTTGACGATACCACTCCTTGATACTCGTAAGTGTGGCCTTCCGGGACAGGTCAAACATAAAGAGAATGGCGACCGCGTCGTTGCACACAAGCGGTAGCATGCTGATGAACTCGCGGTGGCCACCCAAGTCCCAGATACTGAACGTGATCTCCGTGTTGCGTAACGCGATGGTCTTCTCCATGAAGTTGACGCCCAGTGTGTGGATGTAGTCCTCATCGAACTTGCCTTCAACGTACTTGACCATGAGACTCGTTTTGCCTACCTGCGCATCCCCAACCATGCCCACCTTGACGACCACGTTATTGCGCCCAGGCCCACTGCCTCCAGACGAAGCTGCGCCCGAGGGACCAACGCCTCGTGATGGCCGCTCCACCCGGCTCGCGGCGCTTCGTACGTCTTCATGTTGCTTTTCCTCCATCTCGGTGCTCGCGTTTTGCTCTATCCTCTGCGGATAAGCAACTGACGCGATGTCACTAAAGGATGGTGTCACTAAAAAAGTTGGAACTGACGTTAGTCGGACATAAAATGGCGTTCCGTACACAATCAGCTTCAATTTCTTGTCTATGATTCATAGATAATAATAGCAGCCTGAATGTTTTCATTTTAAAGAGATTCATAGACTATGAATCTCTTTAAAATGAAAACATTCAGGCTGCTATTATTAATTTTTATCGGTAATTCAAACTGAAAAGCTTGTTCATCATCTACAGTAAGTGATCCATCAGCTGAAATTTTTCATTAAAAATTGCATCTAAAAATGTGATCCTGCTCACCGATAATACACCTTGTACCACGAGTATTCTTTCCCTACTTCGTGCCATCGTTATTTTCCTTGGACACTGCAGCTGCAGCTTTTTCCGTTACTTGTTGACGATTTCGATATCTTCACTCGTGGTTCCTCAATGGTGGTGTCTCCAAGTGTTGCTGCCATCGACTTTACCTCTCTCTCGACATCCGAATCCGATTGCAATTGCCCCTTCACCTTCATCCTCTGTGCCTCTCCGAACGGAGTCTGCTGCCAAAGCACCTCAAACTCCTCCGGACTGCCACTTGAACAGATCAATTCGTGCTGACCCTTGCCCTCCTTGCTCTGGCGATTCCACGTCGTGCGCATCTTCATGCCGTCGACTTCTCGCTCGTGCACGGCAAAACGGCTTTTCAATCGGCCGGTTAAGTCTTCGTAGCGACGGCGCGTAGTCGTGATTCGACGGCCCTGTTCGTCCACCACCGGCGAGTTGCTGCGAATAGGACGAGAAGGTGTGACCCTCAACGTTTTCCTTGGCTGTGATCTTATGCTCAGTAGCGGGGTCGGGGTTGCTGGCTAAGCTTCTTGCTCTTGATTCATCGTTTTTCATTACCTGTCGCTTCGCTTTCAGTCTCTCTCGGCTTTTTGGAAGTATTGACCTAGTTTGCAGTCTCACTTTGGTCTTCATCGTCGACATCCATGTCCATTCTGGAGTCGGTGTCCGAGTTTGCGTTGACAACCCTCTTCGAGGTAACGTCGTGCGTCAATTCCGGCTCATAGCCACCTTCCGGAGCAACCTTGGGAACAAGCTCCAGCTGAAACGCGGATGAGCTGTACTTGCAAATTAATTAATGGTCGTGCGAGAAGATCTTTTGCGCCATTGCTGTACAATCGATCTCTGTTGTCGATTGAGGCACTTCAACGTGTCCCATACAAATCCCCATATATTCATTTCGATCTGTTTCTAGAAAAGGAGATTTCCTACAGTTCATGTCGTTGACAGGTTCTAGAAAAGAATAAAAATTGTGAGGAAGTGACAAGTGCAGATTGAAGCGCATACTATTAGTAAAGCGTGAGTCTGGCTGCTTTGGACATCGAACATGCGTCAGAGAGTAGTTTTTATCTTGACTTGCATAATTGATCACGTTGGCGCCACCCTACCACTTTCAAAGTCACAGCGCCGCAGGTTGCCTTCAAATATAAAGCTGCTTCCAGTGCTTTCCCTTATTGATTCCTTGACAGCGTCGCAACGCTGCTTACATGGTGATATTCGTCACTCTCGAAGTTGGAGTCTAAAACCGAGTACAGCTCTCCCGCTCACGGGACTTTGATCAATATTATAGAGGTTTTATAATTGACTGCATAAAATAGGGTCACAGATGGAAAATACCTTATCAGCTTGAAAGGGTATAACGAGGTAGGGGGTGCGGCTAACTGGGGGGGGCACTAATATCTACATGTACATGTACATGTAGATATGTACATGTACATGTTTTAAAGTACTACGTAGTAGTCTGAAGCACAAGATCCAAAACTAACGTTCATGTTTCTATCTTTTCTTCTTGTTCTTTCGTCTAGCTGACGATGTTGTCGAGGTGTTGTCCTTCGCTGCTGGCTTCGATTCGATCTCAATCGTTCCACCCTGCAGCAAGTAAAATCAACGCATTAAATGGGAAGAGCAACAGCAGCGACAGGAAAAACGCACAATAATATCCTCGCGGTGCGCACTCTGCTCGACCTTGTTCTGCGTATCCAGGTAGAACATAAGATCGCGCACTTGGCCCTCTAAATCACCAATGCGCAGCGCTGTCTCCTGTTCAACTCGCTCGTTTTGCTCTTCTAGCAGCCGCACTCGTTCCTTCCACTGCTTCTGATTTTCGATTAATGACTTGTTGAGCTCTCTGCATTACACGAGAAACCCACAAGGGGTCAGTTGGGAAGCTCCATGATGGTACAATATCACTCGCCAAGTCGCTCACCTGACAAACGTTAACTCATCCTCCAGCTTCTTGGTCTTTTCCGCAAGAGCTGCGTTTGTTCTCTTTAGATGTTTGCGCTCATGCTCGTGAGCATTCAGCAACTGCCGGCTCTCTCCCTCTTCCACACGTGCAAGCAAGCGTTCGTAATAGAGACGTTGCTCCTCTAATTGACTAGCACAAGCAATGCAATCAAAGTGTCAACCCCCCTCAAGACATTCACCAAACCCAGCAGACACAAGGTACCTCTTCAGGAGAAAGTTGTACTCGACTGCGAGTTTCTCAAGTTTACGGTGCTCGCCTTCTTCTTCCTCGGCGGACGTTGTAGGTGGAGTTTGTGAGCGCTCTCCACTGAGATTATTTGGGCTCGGAAACTCGACAAACTTGCCGTCTTGCTTGTTCAAAATCAGACGATGCACATATCCGTCACCGGCATAGTCCCATACGCGCTGCGTCTCCAACTCCAGTGAATACGTATGCAACGTCTCTTGATAATGCTGTTTTGCGTGTTCGCCCGAGTAGCGGCCACAGCCCACATGGCCGCAAATCAGACAAATCCAAAGGTGATCGGCCGTGCCACACACTTCACACGATGAGCCAATATCTCCGTGACTATATCGACACACGGGGCAACTCGATCCTTCCCACCGAAAGAGGCAGTCGCAATGAAACGAGTGATTGCATAGAGTCGTTAAAATTCCCGATGCTGACGCGTCCAGTCTATCCAAACAGACTGCACACGTCGGAATCTCCGTCATGCCTGCAGGTGGAGGCGGGAACAACTTTCTCATCTGTGCGTTGCTAGCTCTTCTCTCTGAACGCGGGCTCGGCGGAGCATCATCTTCTCCATCTGCACGTTTCTCCTCCAACGCATCATAATCAGGATCGTTTTCCCCTATTACTGGATCAAACTCGATGCTTCTCACAAACACAATTTTGCAACGTTCCTGTTCGATCGAGTTAAAGTACTTGCCGTTATGGGCCTGGTCACACGCAAGAAACAGGAATACCGGTACACGACCTTGTGACTCACAGTTAACAGCGACGGTAGTACAGAGAAGTTGTTGTCCATACCTGAAAAAATTGATCCGCTCTTTCTTGCGAATTGAACTGCATCAGCACCATGCAGTTGCTGCGTTCTGGGTCCTTAAGGATGCGCACAAGTGCAATGTCCTCCCGGAAACTAGCCAGGAACTCGAGAATCTCTACGGGTGACATGTGCGACGGCACTGTAACCACGCATACCAATGTGCTTCGCTCTTTGGGCAGTTGCTGGGTGGATGAAGACGACGAGTAGGGTTTGTCCGCCCGATAGAAACGCAGCTTGCCCGTGGTCACGCGCACTTGCGGGTTGCCGGCGAGGAAGGATGCATCTTGTAAATCCTGCGCGTTTACAAGCGGCGTCTCTTCAGCCTTGGCCTCCTCTTCCTGGGCCAAGTCGGCAGCCTCCACGCGTATCTGAAACATGTCAACGACGAAGTGAACGAATATGATTTTGGTAATTTGTGATACCGGTAAGGACCAAATTCCAGCAATACTGGAGCTGTACCGGTAGTTTTGGATTTTTGCACCTATCGTTTACCGGTAAGTAGTGGTAATTTCGACCTGTCCCACACTGAAACACTTCACTTTGCAAACGGTCGAACCAAAAGCATTGAGAAAGGCTACAGTACAAGGAGAAGAACACCAACGCCAACGGTAATCCAAGCGTCATGTTCAATCAGCCGTACGTATCGGTATACCTCATGCATCTGTCGCCTCCCAGCTAATTGAACGTCTCTTTCTACGAGCAGGTACACGAGCGAGGCGGTTCCCGTCCACAGCGCTCCGGAAGTAGATCCCATCAAACCGTAAGCATTTAGAGTAATGTCATATGTGCACTAGGATGTCATATGTCTTAATGTTTCGATGTCTCTAGGGATCAGAAGAATGTCGAAGCCAAGGTTGGCTGCCAGGATTGGCCGTTTGCGCTGCTATTCGTGCTAAATGTGGGAGTTATCATCGCGCTAATGGTCCTGTGGGGCGCCAAGACAGTGACGGACCCGGAAAACAACTCAAGTGAGCTGATGTCGGGCGACGACACTCAGGTTATGGTGGGCATTGCCGTGGGAATGGCCGTCGTGTCGATGGTACTGGCACTGCTGATGGTCAAGCTCATCGTCGCTTATGCACGCGTCATGATCCTGTTCGTACTGTGGTTCAATGTCGGCATCTCGTTCGCTCTGGCAGCCTATGGATTTGTCATCGGCAACATCTTCATCGCCATTATCGGCCTCATTATTGCGCTACTAAATCTCTGCTATGCGCGTGCTGTGCAGCATCGTATCCCGTTCGCAGTCGCCAACTTGCGTGTAGCTGAGGGGGCTATTTCCAAGCACACATCGACGTACATCGTGTCCGTCGTGTTTACTATTATACAGATTGGCTGGGTTGTGATTTGGGCCATGGCCGTGCTTGGGGTTGCGAACAAAATTGCTGACGATAACCCGAGCTCCACGAGCAACAACACTAATACGTCCACCAGATCTACCTACAAGCAATCGGGGGGATCGTATGTCGCGTACTTCTTTTTGCTGCTGTCGTTCTACTGGGGGCTGCAGGTTTTCAAGAACGTTGCTCACACGACTGTCGCGGGTACTGTGGCGACGTTTTGGTACCAGTCCGAGTCAATGGGCGCCACGGCTGCGTCGCTGAAGCGAGCCACAACCACGTCGTTCGGGTCTATCTGCTTCGGCTCCCTCATTGTGGCTTTTCTGCAAGCTCTCCGTGCGGTACGTTCTACGAAGTACTTAAGTTTTCCTCACGTTCATGTACTGACAGGGTTTGTTTTCTTTACAGTTGGCAGAAAGCGGTCGTCAGGATGGAAGCGCATTGGCCTGCTTTGCTGAGTGCATTCTGGGCTGCCTGCAGTCTCTAATGGAGTACTTCAACCGCTGGGCGTACGTTTACGTTGGCATCTATGGCTACAAATTCACCCAGGCTGGCAAGGCTGTGTTCGAACTGTTCAAACAGCGTGGCTTCGATGCTATCATTAACGACGATCTCATCGGTAACGTTCTCGGCTTCGCAGCTCTCGGTGTTGGTACGTTTTTCTAGAGTGATTTTTGCGGGCAAATAGGTGACGAAAGAGTGCTAACTGGTGGTTTCTTTTCCAGGCCTTATTTGCGCCGGTGTTGGTGCGCTGATTGCGGAAACAACCGACGTGGTCTCTTTCCAAAACAGCACGGCGACCCTAGCCATCCTTGGCCTCGTAGTCGGCATTGGTGTTGCCGTCACGCCTCTCGCAGTCATCGACAGCTCAGTCGCCACAATCTTCGTGTGTTTTGCCGAGGACCCGGCCGCTTTCCAACACTCGCACCCGGACCTGTACGCGCCGCTGGTGCAGGAGTGGCACAACCTTTACCCAGAGATTATGGTGCAAGCCGGATATTGGTATGTTTAGTGTCAACCAGAGAGACCAGGAGGCCACTGCAAGAAAATTCATATACAGTAGCATTTCGATGCAACGTCTCTTCTCCTAAGAGTGTTTGTCGTTTCAATTAAAAAAGTATCTTTGGCACAAAAATAGGACATTCTGAACCACAATGGTAACTTCAGCTCAACATTGTTCTATAAACGCCACTTCAACGTCGCGCACCACTCATTTATTCGTCTGCACGTCGGCAATGTGGCGAAGCCTGGGCTTCAGTTTCTTGTTGCTCGTACCTTTAGCCATGGCCTCCTCCATGACGTCGCTGCTTTTCCGTGCAGCCTCGACGAGCCTCGTAGCGCGGCGCATCACGGACGCCGTCGAAGACCAAGAAGCAAGTGGTGCAAATGCGGACACGGTAGACGTGGACTCAGAGGAATCAAACATCATGATTGTGATTCATTATGTCGCTATTGTGCTGCTTATTATTATGTCGGCCATCTCGTCGGGGCTCACGCTGGGGCTCATGTCACTGGACAAAGTGAGTCTGGATGTGATCGTCCGTGCTGGCGAGCGTCCAGGAGCTACGAAGGACGAGATGAAGAAGGCCAGGGCAGCGAGACGCATTCTGCCAGTCCGAGCGGACAGTAACCTACTGCTTACGACGTTGGTGCTCACTACTGTAGCGGTGAACAGTCTGCTGTCGATTCTAATGGCGGATTTAACCAGTGGCCTCGTGGGTTTCTTCGCCTCGACCATTCTCATCCTCATTTGCGGCGAGATTGTCCCGCAATCACTCTGCTCGAGACACGCACTGGCAATAGGATCGATGTTTGTGCCGGTCGTGAGAGTGTTGAGGATCATGCTGTACATTTTCGCCAAACCGGTGAGCTACGTGCTGGACCGCACGGTCGGGGAGGATGTGGGCACGGTTTTCACCAAACGAGAGCTCCAAAAACTCGTGGAAATTCACGTGAGACAGAAGATCATGCACCCCGAAGAGGGGTATATTGTACGCGGTGCAATGCGTTACAAGACAAAAGTCGTCAGCGATATTATGATCCCGGCCGAGAAACTCTTTTCGCTTCCGATATCCTTTACCACGCTGACTTGTTTTAAGAGCTGCGCATTGTTTGTTTTTCCTGGTGTTTTGATTCCTTGACTGTACGATGATGACGGTTTTATTCATTGTGCACGCCAGTACAATACTCAACTTAGAGACGCTCAAGATGATCTACAACAACGGATACAGTCGAATTCCTGTGTGGAACAAAGACCGGAACGACGTAGTTGGAATCGTCTTCACCAAGGACCTGATCTACGTGGATCCGAACGAAGATGTACCCCTCATGGCATTCGCACGTATTTGCAGTCGCAGCACACCGCATCTGGCTCGATGCACAGCTCGGTGAGATACTCAGCGTCTTCAAAATGGGCAGCACCCACATGGCGCTAGTTTATGACGTCAATAATGTCGGACCTGTACGTCTGGCAGTAGATCGTCGTCATGTGAAGTATCTATTCTAATTTTTGATGTGATCGCCAGGGCGATCCGTTCTACGAGCTGAGAGGATTAGTGACACTTGAAGACATCGTAGAGGAAATCCTGCAGTCCAAAATTATCGACGAGACCGACTCAGTCGAGGCGAGGAAAGAGCGTCAAAACTGCACGGATCAAATCGGGTACTCTGACGGCGGTGAGTTTGTAGCCCGCGCCGTCGTCTTGCTTGCACCTGACAGCTCTCGCCGTGACCCGCTCTGACTTCGTCACCTTCTCCGCTCAGTCTATTCAGATGAAACCCCGCTCCTTGTAGAGAGCAAGACAACTTTCGGCACAGCTCTTGAAGCGTCAGAGTTACGCATCCAATACTAATAGAGCAGTATCAGCACGCTACAAAAGACCAAGAGTGCTGTGCTGGAATCAAGCGTGACAAACTAACTTCTTTTGCAGTGAGGTGCATAATTAATTGGTAGTTGAACATGCATTTCAGATCTTGAGCTTACACCAACGGACGCGTCCTTTGAAAGATTCGATATTAGTGTCGTTGCGATGACTGCAGCAAGACGGGTGGCACCTGCAAGACTGACGCTGTATGTATGCTTTATTGCACTCACTAACGCTGCTAGCACAATTACGACAAAGCTACAGTGTAATGCTACAGTGACAGAGCAAGAGGCAATTGCGCGATGGTCGTTGCTATCGGAGCTGACATTTTCTCGAGATTGTAAGTTTGTCCTGATTTGGTTACCTAAGGTCGTGGGGACTGACGGTAGTCTGTAGCGCATGCAGCGGCGGCTTTTGCTGACAATATTTGGATTGTTGGCGGTGTGTCGGCGTCTTACTACACGAAGCGGCTGGAGTACACGACCACACGGTCGGATGTGATCTACTCCTCGGATGGGGTTGAATGGACTGAGGTGCTAGAGGAAGCTCCGTTTCGACGACGCTATGGACATTCCTTGATCACATTCACCGATTCCAAAGACAAGCTTGAGCGGCTGATACTACTCGGAGGATTTTCACCGGAGCCAGCGACCGATATCTGGGTGACTACGGATGGAGGTAGGTAAGTCTAGAAGTGTTCTCAGGGTAGAACGTATTGTTCGATAAGTGTGTTTTGTATTTAGTTTCGTGGACGGAAGCGGCGGCAACAGTTCCTTGGTCAGGCAGAGGCTTCCACTGCTCGGTAGTATTCAACGGCAAACTTTGGGTGCTTGGTGGCAGTCCGATGAACAATGAGGTTTGGTCCACGTCCTCAGTACTTTCAGGGCCTTGGAAACAGCAAAGTAATGTACCCTGGTCGCCACGCGCAGCTCATGCATGTGCAGTCCACGAGGTCATGACTAACGTGACAGAGGGTGACTCATCTCGAGAAGAGTTCCTGTTCCTTATGGGAGGGTGGCGTGACACCAGTTTGAATGATATTTGGCGAATGGATTCCGCCGGAAATTGGAAATTGCTTTCTGAGGCAGCACCATGGGACGCTCGAGCTTGGTTTTCACTCGTGTCATTTGACTCTAGGACGAATGGTGATGTCCAGCTTGGTCCAAGACTCTGGGTGCTTGGTGGAGGGATCATTGGTCGGGGGATCGAGAAAATGCATCCTTTCTCGGATGTCTGGTACACGCGCGATGGTGTGAAGTGGGTAGCAGCCAGCTCGAATTCTTCAGGCATTTCGACCGCCGAATGGAGTATGGTGACTCAAAGCAACACGCAAGTATGTATGGGCAAATGGGGACACTCAGTTGTACCCTTCCGACGCAGAGTCACTCGCGCCTACTATTGCCACGAGTCATGCACGAATGAAGACGGCACGATCAGCCTTGCCAACCAGCTCATTCCAGTATGTAATCCGAGCACAACTGTGCCGGAAATTCCAGCCCAGCACACAGTGCTTGTCAACAACTCCATGCTCACGAAGACAATCTATCCTGACGGATGTGGTCTTTGCAAAACAGACCCAAACGCTCGGTACCAGAACAGTACGAGTGTGCCGACACTTCTTCTCTTAGCTGGAAATGTGGGAGTCCAGAAAGTGAACGATGTTTTTCAAAGCAGCGACGGAAGTGCGTACAATGCCTCCAAGACAACGTCGAATAGCGGAATAATACAATGAGCTGTCATGACTGAGCAGTTTTGGATTGCTTGTTTTGTAGTGTTGTGCGAGCGTGAAGGCAAAATCTGCTCCGGTGAAGGTGTGTGCGTGCAAGGCGGCAATTGCTTATGCAACAGTGGGAAAACCGGGAGTAACTGCGACAGCGAGCTGGGCTACACCATCATCGACTCGAGTACGCGGTGCCAATTTCGCGGTATAACTTTCTTCATACCAATTGACGCTCCTTTGTTTATATTCGTTCGTAGAGAGTTGTTTCCCGGAGTCAGCTTCAGTTGTAGTCGCCGGTGGTAAGACCAAGCGTTTGGGTGACGTAAAGATCGGAGACTCTGTGCTATCAATCGATGAGGACGGAACGCCCGTGTACTCCACCGTCTACTACATTCCACACGGAAGCGATCGGAGGGGCGAGACGGAGTTCATCAGTGTAAAACACGAAGGCATGGATGATGAGCAGGTCAGTTTTGTACCTAGAAGTACGTGCTGGATCAGACCTTGGTCATGCGGTGCAGCGCGGTGACTGCCTCTACCTGGCGACCAGGATCGGATCGCTTGTCATTGTTGAAATCTGTGACGTGTGACTAACATCTGTGACGTGTGTAATCTGCATATTTTATCCAGGACTTTGTTGAAGTGCTCCAGCTTACCCCGGAACACCTCGTCTACTACCTTCCTAGGAAAGTTCAAGAGAGCAAAACTTTCGGTTTTGGACTCAATTCGCACGTGCTGATAGCGAGCTTAGCACAGAAACCAGCGAGCGAGCTTCGGATGAACGACCTGCTCTTGACGTTCCCATCGCCCTCTCGATCATTTTTGCGTGAGAGCAACACCGAAACCGTATCAAGGCCGGCCAGAAACTGGAGCTGGTCCGATGGCAAGACCGAGTGTCAAGAAACGCCCCCAGCTGGGCTCAGCTTGGTCAGAGTAACTGGATTGACTCGCGTCAAGCATCGTGGAGCCAAGACGGTGTACACGATGACGGGCAATGTGTTTGTGGCGGGCGTGCTCTGTAGCAACTTCGGCGACTACTACCCAATGCTGCCTGGTCAACAATGGCGGGATTCGGTAGCCTTCAAGCTGTTCGCCCTGCACCGCTCGGTGTTTAGGTTGCTCCCTTATCCTAGCACGGCCGAGCTCCTACGCGCGCTCATGGACCAGCTGGTGCTACCGGTCTTGACATGGCTTCGACCGCTGCTCCTCTCCAAGCAAAGCTCAGGAGTACCAGTAACGTCACCACAGCGTTAATCGAGCCCAAAATCGCCCCACCGAGCTTAGACCTTTACAAAGATCAAAGCTGAAGATCGATTTTTTTCTGCTTATGTTTACTGAAAGCCTTAGAAAAATTTCCGCAAGAAACAACAGCGCAACAGCAAAGCGTGAGAGTTTCGAATTCCGAGACAAGTTTTCGTTGCTTCCTCCTGGCGTGGATAACCTCGCATCTTTTGCTGTACGAAATGACACCAAGATCACCGAGAAGAACGGCGGCCGCTGTACGGAGCGTGAATGTATTCGGAAGCGTTATCTCGTACATGTACATTTGTATTGCCTCAAGTCAAAGCTCAGGACAAGTTGCCTTCAAAGTTTATTAATACCAGAGCATTTCCCACTGGGAAATTCCCAGTCTCTGTTGCGGTGCTGTAGAAGCAGTTGGCGTCGGCGCTCCACGGTTGGGGGAAACTGCGCGACACCTGCGGCTGAGGCAAAAACCTGCTCAAAAATGAGCACTGCTCACAACTGTCGAGCGTTACGTGGCAGCTCCCGCTTTGGTCTTTTATCGCCGCCCTGGGACCAGCTGGGAGTTCCGCGCACAGGCTCCTCGGCCATAGCGCCTCCCTCGAAAAAAGAAGACGAATAAGCAGAGAATCGGCGGAAAATGGCCGAGGCGTTCCAACGCTGGCCATGCGTGCGGACGTTGGCAATCGCAAGGGTTGAAGTGAGCCGCTCGTTCGCCGGCTCGAGCAGGTTGTGGATTTTCACTATGTTCCTATGCGCCGGTTGTCAAGCGTATCCATTCCGTCCTCGCCCCACAGCGTCTTATTACAAACATGCGGGGTGTGAGCTTGCGGCAAGCTATGACCAAGAGAGGCCGCCAAGCCGGACTGCCACTACATGTAGTTTCTGAAGCAATTGTCCAACTGCACAAGTTAAATGAAGACTTTATTGGAAACAAGTGTAATGTGTCGAAAAGACGGCGCTTCAACGGTTCCCAAAGCGTGTAATACGTCCAGTCTGGCCTAGCGCGCGTTCGCGGCAAACGGCTGGAAAGGCAAAGTCTCCGTACTCGCCACAACTTGTGGCGAGTACTTGTGGCACAAGCGACGAGACCTGCTGGCCGGCAAGTCGCTACGGCCCGTTGTGCAGCGGCGCTGGTCTAAAATACTCTCACTGTGCAATTTGCCAGCAACGTCTCATTTGCAACTTTTGTAACGCTACCACCGGAAGCCAATTTACAACAATCATGCTCGGCAAGCGTTGCGCATCGGAAATGGAGGCCTGCCTCACTGAGTACTACCGCCAGGAATGCCTGCGTGCCTTGTACGCTAAGCAGGAGCGCCCACGTGACTGTGCTTGGGTGAGCAAGGATATGATGGCCAAAGCTCCACGTCGTGCGCGCAAGGGAGTCTCGTTCGCCATGGCTCCAGAGATCATCGGCAGCGCCGACCCCACCGTGGACCGAAGCCCCATTGACGTGTCCCCGATCTCCAAGCTCGAGCTCGTCGTGCTTCTCTCGCAGCGTACGTTCCCCGTTCAGGCATAACCGATCAACCCGTAACTGGACGACTACAGTAGACTACATTTCGTAGTACACACCAGACAACTGACGGAACGCAAGCAAGTGCACGCACTGTACCGTTCCGTGCTGGACACTCCCAACCGCTTTCACTCCTCATGCTTGGGTGGACCTAGAAGACCGAGATCGGCGCCGTCCAACAGCGGCTCGAGCCTCAACATGTAGCTTATAGAACCACGAGTTATGGTACAACTGACTCAATATTTAAGTTTGCGAATGAATTGCCGACACTTCCAACACCACAAACGTTCTGCTTTTTGCATTTCCATCAGTATAACACACCAGCAATAATCTCGGCCAGCAAGCCTACACAAGGGGTCAGTTCGATGCGGTTCATAACTGGATCTGCGCTCACATATCGAGCGGCATGAGACGATCGACCTCTCGCCTTGACACGCCTTGCTCCAGTAATTGCATCCGCGCTTTCACACGAGCGACGAGAGCTTTATCGCGAGCCATTTGCAGCTCCAGCTGACGCAATGTGAGTTCGACTCGAGCTTTCTCCAATTCGATCTCGTCAATCGATCGCAACAATGGGCGCTTTTTGATCGGCCCCGGGGGCATACTCCTTCTCTCGTTCTGTCGACGTCGTGCCTGTCCTATCGCTTCTTCCTCCTCTTCCAGCATCACTGACATGGATTCCATGGCCCTACTCTTACTCTTCCTCAGTGGTCGCGTCGCAGGCGGCGTCGGAGGTGTCGGTGGGCTCATGGCACCACCCACAGCCTCATTGTCAAAGTTCCAGACCATCGTCTCAGCCATCCCGCGCCGCTCACGAAGTGAATACCGGTACTTCTTCTTTTCTGGCGAAGGAGACGGCGATTGAAACCGCGCAGGCGAAGGACTAGCGGCTCGAGCAGGAGCAGCAACAGGAGGTGGAGCTGGTGCAGCCGCAATGGGCTCAGGAACCAAGGGGATTGACACTGTTTTCCGCTTGGTACTGAGTCTCGGCCTCTTCTTTGGAGGTAAATCCACCACCTTGTCAATGTCTTTCATAATTGGTTGCAATAGTGCAAAGTGGCGGCAGTGGCGCTCCAGCACGCGTCGCAAGTTGCGCTCCGCCGGCGTCCCTTCAGCCGCCTGCAGCTCGCGTTTGGTACTGGCTAATCGCTCGGCTGCTTCGCGATACGAGTTCTCCAGTTCTGTCATTTTGACTTGCACCTGACTAGCCGTGCGATGTACCAAGCCTTCGGTATGCAGCTGCTGCACGATCTCGTCCGCCAATGGGCGGTGGCTCTCCTTCGCTCTAGTGCAGCTCCGCCAGCGATCATAATTACCTGGCGCTCCCAGCCAGTCAAGCAATACGCCCATAGACGATTTACCGCCAGTGCCCACATGATCCGATGTCCACTTGGTCTGCTGCTGTGACGCCTGTCGCGCCCGAAAGAAGCTCGGCTTCACGTGCATCTCACAATTCTTGGTGGCTGCGTAAAGCCACTCGCCCCTGCTTTCAGCCAATCCGCAAGTTGAAGTGATTATGAACGTGCTGATTGGTCAAAAACAGTTGTTTTCTTTTGACCATCACTCTGTAAGTTTTTTGGCGCGGTCAGTTTGAATCATGGCGCGAGACATCTGCAGCTCACCGTTGTCGTCTGCGGACGAGGCGGCCTCCGGTGGCTTCCCAGAGCTGTCTCCGTCGCCTGTAGAGTCGCGTGGCAAGGTCCGAAAGACTGGGGGAAAACGGAGGCCCAAGGCTAAGAGGACGGTCTTGCAGAGTAAGAAGCTGAAGCCTACGCAGGAGTGGAAGAGCTCCAAGGAGCTGGTACACGACGTACCCCAGGATTTTGTCGAGTACCTGGACGATCAATTGAGCGCCATGCAACAGGCCAGATTCGAGACAGAATTTGGCGGCGGACAGGGCTACATCGTGAAGCTGCCCGCTTCAACCTGGAAGACGAAGCGCAAACGCGACGAACTGGAGAGCTGGGTCCGAGCTTTAGGCTTCACATCCGGCGCTACGTTGAAGCGTAATGCGCTGCGTATTGCCAGCCTTAAAGCAGATGTGATTTTGAGTGAATTGAAGCAGAGAAGGCCTTCGATTGAGTGCGTGACAGAAGACGGTTGGGATGAAACTGTACTAATATATGTGTGTTACTATGTTAATAGTGATGATGACAAGGTGGACGATGCAGACGTGGAGCCTGAGCCAATTAGCGACAGTGTAAGTGGTGATGACGGGAAAGAGCAGGATGGAAATTACGACATGGATCCAGCGCTTATTCGGCTGAAAAAGTACTTTAAAAAGTTGGAGTCGCATAAATTGGAGGTCGTGTCGTTCTCAGAGAACCACCGACTGCTATCGTCCACGCAGCACATGGCGATCGCTGATGCCATGGAGGACGTGCTGGCACAGCCTTCGATCCGTAGAAATCGTCGTCTGGCGCGGCGCCTGACGAAGCTGGGGAGAGTCTCGGACCACCGACTGTCTTCTATTGGTCTGGCACCTGCGTCTTTCCTGCCGTCAGTGGAAGACGATTGGATGGGGGATCGAGAGAGGAATATATCGTTGACACCAGTCAAGCGACGTATTTCGCATGGAGACATCTCGTCGACACAGAAGAAAAATGTGCTGGGACAAAGTGTGCTGCACCTTGTGCTTCATTCTGGATTGGTTGACGTGAAGACGTCAAAGGAAGTGCTGCGAAAGGTTTCTACGATGTGGGAGAAGATTGCTGTCATGTAAGGTTTGCACCAGGTTTTACTTGTTGCACGTCTGTGGACTTACGTGTATCTGCGTGTTTCACGCATGCAGGGCGTTTGCTTGGACCATCACTGACTACTCCAAGTACACAGCATACATGTAGCAAGTACTCTGTTGCTTGCTCAATACTAACGTTGTTCCCCAATTTTCTCTATTCAGAAAAGCCAACGTGTACTCAACGACACAACTCTACAGTCGTCACCCGCGTGGCCATTATCTATCGGACGGTGCTCACAAAGAAGTATTCAAAGTCTTCTCGTCGGAGCAAAAGCGACTCGAAGCTGTCAGCGTGATGGATATCGGTGACATCAGCAATCAGGTATGTCCACTCGTCAGGGATGTCGCGTGTTTGCTCGATGACTAAAAAGCTAATTGCTTGTAGGATGTTGTCCGCTTAGAGGTGGGACATTCGGTTCTCTTGTCGGACGCGTGCGAGCACGGCATTTGTCCGAATTTTCTCCAGGTTTACGATGTTTTTCTGGCACACGAACGACCTCGTCCTGCTCGCTGGGGTAGCAAAACGCACCGCAAACCTGTGGAGCTGTTGACGAACGCCGATTCCGATCTTGAAGGAGCTGAGAGTCAGCAACAAGAAGCACCATCCAGTGATGAGCATGAACAACTATTCCAGTACATGCGGATGGAGTTCTGCGACGGCGGCGATCTTGAAGACTTTATCAGTCTGCAGGAGAACAAGGCGCTTCCACTGAAGTCTGTTGCGGTGCCGTTTTTCTTCCAAATGGTGTTTAGCTTGTACTGTGCGCGCGAAAAGTTTAACCTGCGCCATTATGATGTCAAGGTTCGTCAGGGACTGCTTGTTACTGCGTGACTGATATTCTTCAGCTCTAATGTCGTCGTGATTCTTTGCGTGCTTGTTGTGTTTATGTCAGCTTCTCAACTTCTTCCTGAAGGACATTCGTCGTGCCAAGCTCGGCGATGCCTCAGGACGTGATGTTGTCCTGCACTACATTATGGAAGACTCTTGCTTTGTGCTCCAAATGCCTGCATCGTTCTCGTACTGGGTGAAGCTAGCTGATTATGGTGCAGCTGATTCCAGTCCGGAGAATCTGGGGAAACCCGTCACGATCGACCAGTTCGCTACGCTGGAGAACTCACCCATCGAATTCCTATTGGAAGGGGATGCAGCCGAGCAGTCCTACGCTGCAGACACATTTTCGTTGGGCCTATGCCTCTTGCATTTGTTTACGGGAAGGTAAGCGTGACTCAGTTTCGATTTTGTTTGACGCATTCTGACAAATTCTGAATTAACTCGTAGCGCTCCATACGAAGAAACCCTGGAAGCAGTGAAGTGCCCCGCAGAACTACTGAAAGATCTGAAGGCTCTATGGATGGTATGTACTGTGTGGCAGTGTAATATTGTGTTTGCTTGGTCTGATGGTTTTGCATTTTTTACTCCGGGAATGCATGTAGAGCCGACAAAAGAACTCGAAGTTTTCTGTGATTAAGAGTGTGGCGCGTGGTGACGATGAAAACACACTTTGTCACACGTTATATCGATTTCTCGTACTTTTTGGTTTACCAGAGAGAAACCCGAGCGAAAGTAAAGGAGTCGACAAGGTGTGGAAGCTACTGGTAAAACACTTACGACCAGAGGAGTCCCACTCAGCGACCAAGCGTCCCCAACGGAAGTGCAAGCTGGCAGTCGGTGCGAATAAAGCTCGATTGAAAACCGCCAAGGAACAGTTCTACCATGATCAGGCATTGTACTCGATCGCAAGCGGCTCCAACGATATCATGTATCGATGCCGTGAAGGGTTGATGACAATTCCGGGAGCGATGGACCTGCTGAAACAAATGGTTGACTTTAACCCATCAAAGCGCCCCACGCTCAAGCAAGTGATGTACCATCCCATGTTTTCAAGTCTCCGCTCGCCTTCAGAGAAAACACAAGCACCCGCAGATTTTGTGATTAGCTACTACAGGAGCCAGACCCAAGGTGGTCGAACTGTTTTGGACGTGTAGATCTCAGGAAAGTCGAGCTTGATGCCTTTTATACTGTAGCAACGCGAACGATTGAGTCCGATTCATTTACATGCTCTATTTTATCTTAACAAGATGTTTAATTACAGCTTCAAAACACTTTCAAAGTCTTCAGAAAACCTTAAGTTTCTACCAGAAACATTTTGCGTCTTCGTGTACTCAGCCGCCAGTCCATCAATGAATATCTCTTGATAAACCACCATCTACCTGCTCCATCCTCTCATAAGCCCTTCAACGCGATGCACTGTTATCTTGACTGGACGCTGGGCAGTGCAGATTTCACGAATCAAATCCTTCGGCTTCAGATATTTCTGTCCGTTCACAGCAACCACACGAGATCCGACCAAGACGCCGTGTCTCCTTGCAATGCAGTCCTCATCGACGTTTTGCACGACGCAGCTGAACTCGTTCGCAGCCAATGAGCAGCCGAGTTCTTCCTTGTCTTGCAGCGTCACATTAATCTCCACGGTCCTAGGTTCCGGGACGGATGAAATCACGGCTTTCGGACCCTCCGACGCCATTTGAGCGCGGAAAACAAAGTGGAACGAGATTGGTCGCGGCAACGTTCGAAGCATGCTCACAACTTCGTCAAATTTAAGGTTCTTCGTGTCGTTCAGACCGATCAATAAGCTGCCAACTATCACGTTGGCTCGTTCGGCGGTACCGCCCGGAATGATCCGAGATACCTCGGCATAGCCACTGTTGGCCTTGGCTAACGTGAAACCTAACGGTTCGCCAGGAGATCCAATCTTTCGCTCGTATTTTCGCCATTCCACAATACTCTACATGTAGAAATAACAAAGCAGATATGCAGATAGAACGCGAGATGTTTAACACAATTGTCTCCCGTTGAACCAGATCACGACTTACCGAAGCGCTGACAGTGCAGGACTTGGAGTGCGAATTCAATTCAGTAAGCGACACCATTGAACAGCAGGTCGTGCACTTGACACTGTTGCAATCGGCAGGGTCACTCATGGGTTGCATCGCCATTGCCGTTGTCGGGGACGACACAGGATTTTCCTTAACACTTGAAACTGGGCTTATTTCTCTCGTAGCAACTTCAGCAAGTATCGATAAAAACGACGTCGCAGTGAACGCACACTGCACCGACGGATCCTTCGCAGCCGCCAGAGCCACGCGACTCTTGTAGGCTTTGGCCACGCTTGACGAATACTTTTTCTCCATCGAAAGATCAGAAACTCCGGTGCCAGCACATACAGCGATCCACTTAGCGTTTCCACCCAGTTCAAGCGCTCGCACCTCACTCTCTGACCAGGCATCCATAACTAGCGACTTTACGAAGCTTGTCTGCACCCCCAGCGAGCGGTGCTTGCCAGCGCAAGTTAGACAAAGTAGCACGCCGAACGAGACGCCGGCCCACTGCGGACAGACGGCCTTGCAATCCACGCAGCGCTGTCAACAGAATAGTTATCACTAACGGTTAGCTGAAAAACTGCCTGGTGCTATCGTTATTGCGGCCACAGCGTGAGAGCGTACGTCGTTGCCTGGCAGCAAGCGGATCGCCACCTCTGTCGCTGGAGATAGGCGCACCATAGTTATTGGCTCAGGCATCACGCCTCGTTTGGATGCTGCAAATGCCGAGCTGCTGTCTCTGGACAAGGCGGCAGGTTTGCAGCTAGAAGATGGTTGGGGCGATAGCGAATCTCTGGCCATTACCATGGCGGAGGAGATCGGAGAATAACGTTGCTATTCTTGTCGCCGTTTGCTGTCCGCGATTGGACGGCGCAAACTCAGAGCATTATATTGTGATCTGGTATAAATGAAGTGTGAATATATACGGTGGAAGTCACAATGAGCTGAATTGTAGATGGAAGCAGTATTCACTAGTAAGTAACGGTCAGAATGCACACGTATTATCAGGACAAACCAAATAGCGAAGCTAAACGAAAGCTTGTTCACATCAAGTACTGTCTCTACCCGTTTGTGCTTGGATTTTAGCTTTGATCCGCCTAGATTTGAATCTTAAACGTGCAACATACCAGAACGTTTAAGTTGCGGTCACAGCTTCCCGCGCTTTTTTTCCGTAGCCATTTCATAAACAGCTGATCCATTGGCTGAGGCTACTCGACCGACGAGAATCATTCCACAAGTTGCCACAGGCAAGCAGCGCCTCGTCCTCTCTTCCACTCGACCTAACCGACTTGACGTCATGGATTTCCCGGCGCTAGCGGCCGCTCTAATGAGCAATGACAACGCGACGCGCAAGCAGGCCGAGGCTTCGTACGAGGCCTTTAAGGCTGAGCAGCCGCAGACCCTTGTGGCCAGCCTGGTGCAGCTGCTGCGCACGGCTCCCGAGCCGGAAGCACGCGCCTTTGCCCCTGTGCTGCTGCGTCCGCTGGTGGAGGTGAAAGCTGGCGTCTACACCAAGCTTGACGCCGCTGCGCAGGCCACATTGAAGGCTCAGTTGCTGGAGGCTGTGGCCAGCGAGCCCGTTGCACATATCCGCCGCAAGCTTGGCCACTTGATCGCCGAGCTGGCCGCCATCTCGGAGACGTTTGAGCAATCGTGGCCCGAGCTTCTCAGCGCTGTCTCGGCGCTCACCACACACGCTGATGCGCTGCTGCGCGTGACGGCCTTCGATTTGCTGGCCAAATTGGCCGAGTACGTCGGCGACCTGCTGGCCCCTCACAAGGAGAGCTTCCTCACACTCTTCACGAACTCACTGAACGACGCCAATGGAGAAGTGCAGATCGCCAGCCTCAAAGCCGCTTCGGCCTTCCTTCTCACACTCGAGGACAAGCAGGAATTGTCGGCCTTTGCAATTATCATCGCTCCCATGTTGCGCATCATTGAAGTCCTAGTTAACGCCGGCGACGAAGTTGCCTTCCGCGAGGTGTTGTCGGCTCTTGTCCAGATCGCCGAGGTGCATCCCAAGTTCTTCCGCAACTCGCTGGACGATGTTGCCCGCGCTATGATCTTCGTTTGTTCGTCACAGGAGCTCGACTCAGAGACCCGTGAGCTCGCTTTGGAGTTCCTCATCTCGCTATGTGAGAACGCTGGCGGTATGGTGCGCAAGTCGCAGTTTATCGTGACGAACGTGGTGCCTCTGGTTATCCAGCTCATGTGTGAAGTCGAGGAGGACGAGTCGTGGGTGCAGAAGTTCGACGACCCCGAGTCTTTCACTGAGTCTAACGATGCTGACAACTCGGTCAGTAACGCTGGTGCGGCTGCCATCGACCGCCTGAGCACTTCTCTGGGCGGCAACGCCGTGCTGCCTGTGGCCATCCCGGTCATCAAGGGCTTCCTAGGCGATGCCGACTGGCGTAAGCGTCGTGCCGGTCTGTATGCTACCTGTTTGCTGGGCGAGGGCGCCAAGTCACTCATGACGCGTGAACTGGACAACGTTGTGGGTATGGTACTGCCCTTCCTGAACGACCAGCACCCGCGTGTACAGTACTCTGCGCTGCACAGTATTGGCCAGTTGGCCGAGGACTTCGGTGAGGTGGAGAAGGGCAAGAACTTCCAGGCCAAGTTCCACGCCGTCGTGATGCCTGCGCTTACAGCGTTGATTCAGAACGAACAAGGTGTGCTGCGTACTCGCGCTCTGGCGGCCAGTGTGGTCATCAACTTCTGCAACACCAACGTGTGCAAGGCCAAGTACGTGGCCCCGTACAGCCAAGCTCTGCTTGAAGCACTCTTCAACGCTATGCGTTCGTGTCCGCGTCAGGTGCAGGAACAGGCAATCACTGCTGTGGCCAGTGTGGCCAAGGTGATTGGAGACGAGTTCCTCCGCTTCTACGACATTTTCATCCCGCTGGCCAAGGAGGTGCTGACGAACGCCCATGGTAAGGAATACTCTCTGCTGCGTGGTAAGTCGATGGAGTCGATTGCGCTTATCGGCCAGGCTGTGGGCAAGGAGCGTTTCGTGAACGACGCCAAGGAGATCATGGAGATTCTGGTGCGCGTCCAGTCGAGCGAAGAACTCGAGGGCCCGGAGGTGCAGTACGTGGCCCAGTCGTGTGTGCGTATCGGCAGCATCCTGAAGGAAGACTTCGTGCCTTATCTGCCTCACGTGATCCCGTCGCTCATCAAACAGGCTCAGATCCAGCCTGACATTCAGCTGTCGGATGTTGTTGACGGTGATGTCGAGGAGGATGGCGAGACTGCTGATGGCAAGGAAACGATGACACTGGAGATCCGCGGGGTGGGCAAGAAGCGTCTGGAGATCAACACGAGTGCTCTGGAGGACAAGACCAACGCTTGCAACATGCTGTACCAGTCAGCTCTTGACTTGGAAGGCTGGTTCTACCCGTACGTGGCTGAGGTGGCCCAGGTGATGATCCCGTTGATTGATTTCACATACGTCGAGGACATTCGCATCGTGAGCAGCTTGACGATGGCCAAGCTGCTGAACTGTGCGGTGGATGGCACGCTGAATCATGGCCATGGGGCGACTGCACCGCAGTTCCCGCAGCAGCTTTTCGAGAAGTTTTTTGAGCCGATGCTCAAGGGTTTGCAGGAGGAAGAGGACTTGGAGTGCCTTGGCGCTTTCGCTGAGGCCATGTCGGCCGTCCTGGAAGTGTGCAAGGAGAGTCAGGACAAGGGATTCCAGGTTGGCATCCCGCTGGAACATGTTCCGCGTGTGGTGGAGATCTTCAAGACCGTGGCGTCCAACAGTGCTCAGCGTCTGATGATTCAGCACCAGGAGAACCAGCAGGATGAGGACTACGACGCTGAAGCTGCTCTGCAACAGACCGAGAACGACGAGCTGGAAGAGGGCGTCTTCCGCTCGATGGTCGACTCGATCGGCTGGATCATCAAGACTCAGAAGGAGGCTTTCTTTCCGGTGTTCCAGGCCCACCTGCTGGCGTTTGTGACGCCACTGCTGGAGCAGAAGACCGTGCCGATGCTGCGTGGTCAGGCTATCTGCATGATCGACGACATCATCGAGCACTGTGGGGCTGCTGCCCAGGAGCTGGTGCCGCTGTTCCTGAACCACCTTGTACAGGGCCTTGAGGACCAGAGCCCGTCAGTCATCCAGGCGTCCGCTTACGGCATCGGTGTCAGTGCTGAGAAGTGCGGAGCTGCTTTCGATCCGTTCTGTCAGAACGCCCTAGAGAAGCTGGTGCACCTGATCAACGTCTCGGCCAACGTGGACGACGACGAAGTTGGCGCTGCCCGTGACAATGCTATCAGTGCTGTGGCCAAGATCTGCCTGGCTCGTGAGGGTGCCGTGGATGCGGCGAAGTTGTGGTCCATGTGGCTCAGCTGGCTGCCGCTTCGTACGGATGTGCTCGAGGCTCGCGAAGTACACGCTCGTCTCATTGCACTGGTGAACAGTGGCAACGCTCATGTGCTCGGCGCCGACTACGCTAACCTTCCCCAGATTCTGAAGGTGTTCGCTTCTGCTCTCCGTAAGTTTGTGGTTGTGTCTGCTGACGCAGAGGAATGTGTGACTTATTAACTGTTTTTGCTGCTGTGTAGTGTTCGACCTGGCGGAGGCAGACGAGGTCGCTGACGATGAGGACATGGCGACCATCTCGGAGGAGTCTAAGCCTCAGCTCCGTGAGCTGCTGGCCAAGTTGCAGTCTCAACTGCCTGGTCCGGTGGTGCAGGGTGCTTGGGCGAAGCTCAGTGGCGACGAGCAACAAGCTCTGTCTCAGCTGTAAATGATTGATATTGATTGACGACGTAGGACATGCATTTAGAGATAGGGTAGTAAGTAGTTTTGTCATCTGTAACCTGCTAATGACTAGAATCGATAAGTAGGAGATGCGACAGTTTTGATAAATCTGCGTTTTTCGAAGTTGAAGTTGCCTTACTCGTTGGCAAACACCTAGTTCTCCGTCCTCTCTTGTGGGTTAAAGGTTGTCTGTCGAGTGAGAAGTACCCACTGCAGCTCTTGGTGTATAGTATCGCTCGGTTGGAAGCTGGAGAGGGTCTACGTCAATTACTGGACTTTTGCCTACACACATCCACAGCTTATCTCTTGAGCAAAAACTTGAGTGCCAGCCCTGCGACGACTACAGCTCCGACGATGCCCACACCTACTACGCCGTCTTCTGCACGACACAACTTTCGTCAGTCCCAGACATGGGAGTAGCAGCCTCATCACACACCTCTTGCCACGACTTCCTTGATTCTTTTGTGAAGCAACTGTGCTTTCATGTGTGACGGCTCCATGCGAAGTAAGCGCTCGCAGTAGCTGCGACTGGCACGGTACTCCCCCAACCCGCACAACGTTAGCGCGATCCAGTACAAACTCTCCTTGGGAGAATAGTTTTGCTCCAGCAAATCTGAAAAAAAAAATTGGGTGAGCCTTCAACTCCACTTTTGCCACTGATATGCAGTATCCTTCACCTTCCAGTAATCCGATTGCGCGGTACTTGTCGTCGCGTTTGCGGCTTTTCGCCAGTGCGATTGCATAGCGTAGTTTGACCTTCGCCCGCAATGGCAGCACAATAAATGATAGCGTAAGCAACATGGCAAATATCGCACAAGCGGACTCAATCGGCACCACCTGAGGCGACGGCTGCTCCTTCTCCTGCTCCTCCAAATATTCCTCGCGCGCCGCCGCCAGTTCCTCGGGGGAGAACCACTCCGCGTCGGTCTTGGCGCCTTTCATGGTCATGGCGCGCGCTTGCGCGTTGCCTGTCTCCCTCCGCTGCCCAAGCGGGTCTAGGATGTAATGCTGCGCTTCTTTGCAATTTCTTCAATAATAAAACAGTGTACCGTACACAACTCGCAAAACTTGGCAAGTTGAAGTTGAAGACAACGAAATAAATCTTCGTCGAATAGAGCAGTACTGTAGTTGGCCCTACTGTAGAGCGCTAGCTATAATGCTGCAGTTCTGGGGAGTTTTCGAGACCGGAACAGGCGACGGAGGCGTCTTTGGCGAAGTATAGTCCTTTCGACACGCTTTGCGGACGTCGAGGAAAAGCTGTGAGTGGATAGACAACGGTGAGCAGCCACCTTTGTCATCTAAGGAATAATGTCGCCGTACCTGAGCGTTTAAAAGATTGATGAAAAGAATTCCACCAAAGGCCATGGCGAAATGGGACTGCTTACGAGATGCAAACGCAGTTAGAACCGTTGTTGGTACTGACGAGTGCGCTATGTACTTGCATCTCACCTGTTGCGCGAAAAGTTCTCGAGCTCGATACGTTAGCGTAGCGACGGCCACGTGGGGTAGCAATCGAGCTACACCGAACGACGTCCACTGCGCACGCCAGACCCATTGGAGGAGCGTAGACTGCCACACCGAGTAATTACTCATGACCAGCAGCTTCCGAGCGTGCATAAACACAGATTGCAGCTCACAAGCCAACGCGAGCGACAGTAGCGGCACACCCACAGTCTTTGTGAGAGCGGAGATGTAGCAGATGAGCACTACTACGTGGTGCACAATGATCCCCGGAGACTTGACGTACAACCGATTCAGTACATAGTCCCACAAGTCGTAGGCAAAGTAGCCTGGACCAGCAACACATCAAGAAGCACAATGTTAGTAATTCATTTAATACCTTGAAACTCGAAAGAGTCGATAGTCTCGTACCAGTTGAGACAGAAGTAGCAAGGAATTCTCCCCACGTTACAGTATTGACGTAGTCGTCATGCAGCGAGTGAGAGCTGAGCAGCGCCGATATTGCTAGGAGAGACGAGAGCGCTGAGTGCAGCATTGACACCAATGTGTTGCAAAATAGCAGCTGGCCGAACGTTGACAGAGTAGGAAAAGCCTTCACCCTAGCCGACGCCAGAGGCACTATCGCCACCCGAACGACTGTGAAAACCTGGTAAGAAAATGATAGCGATGGCCTTAGCTGAGGAAAGTCACAGTGAACAACCGACGGAAATCGCCTCGGTACCAATGAGGAGGCCACGACGATCCAAAGTCGCGGGTCAGTGTACAGCTAGCGAAATGTGTCAACAAAAGAAAACCGTCAGTCCGGATTAGTCTCAACAGAACCACACAAGGGTCTCACCATGGCCGCGCACATGCTGACCCACGTAATAACGAGCGCTTCAGTGAACATGGCTGCTTCAAAAGCCTTATCTTGTCAAAATGGCTGAGAATGCAAGAAGTACATGTAGCGTTCTTTGGTGTTCCTGCATGGCGCTCGCCTATCAATATGAATAACAGCCAATCACAGGTCATTTAAATACTTTAATGCAGAGGAGACATTGTTGTATCGTATCCGATCTACTGACAAGTGCACGATCTGCTTTGTGCTTCGAGTTGATCTAAATGTACATCTATAATAGGTGAGCTTCTTCAATCAGATCTCGTGAAACAACGCATGCTGTTTGTAGCTGTACACTTGAGTTTATGTCAATAAAAAACGTTTTTCTTGTAAAAAAAAATGCTACAGGCTGGAGGCGGGAAAACGAAAAAAAACGATGCTGCCGTCAATCCACCGACGCAGTTATACTTGGGGCTCTCGTCGCCAGCCAGCGATGACGTCGAAGCCAGGATATTTGCTTGTGTCGTCACGCCACTTCACTCTCAATTTTGTGCACTTGGGGTCGTCTGATAAATTATGATGCTGGACGAGGACGGAGCTGGCTGGTGACGTGGCTCAGATGCCGCCCTCTCTATTCGTCCTCGCGGCAAATACGCTGGAAGATGGATAAGCGCGAGAACTTGGACGCCGCAGACTCCGTGCTGCTCGCCGAGCGGGGCGACATGGCGTTCAACGCATCGCCACTGGAGCTGCTCGTACAGCTACTGCGGAAACCGAAGTTGCCGAGGTCGCTGCTCTGGAACGAATAGTCAAGGAACGGGTCGCGGCTCAGGTACGAGTCGAACTCTGGCTTAGGAGGCGACAAGCCAGACAGAGGCGCCAGTGACATCTGCTGGTTAAAGCCGCCGAACGGAACGGACAGGTCAATAGGCTCCAGTACGTTGCCGTACGGGTTCACCAATAAGTCCTTGGACTGTGTCTCCTGGTCGTCCGACTCGCTGGCAGTACTGGACAGGTCGCTGCAGCCGTAGTCGACGAACCGCTGGTCCTCGTCGCCCGGGTGCCTGGTGTGGATGAAGCGACAGCGCGAGCCGTACATGCACTTGCCCGTGGACAGGAAGGCCTTGCAGCGCGTCGTCTTGTATTTGGGGTGACGCAGCACGCCGCGTAGCTCCTCTTCACCGTGCGCGAACTGGCACTTGGAGCCGTACCGGCAGCTCCCGTTCTCCGTGAAGTGCTTGCACAGCTCGGTCTTGTAAAGGTTGTTGCGCGCCGTCTGCGGCAGGCGTCCGCAGTCCACGATATCGCCGTTGGCCAGCACGTGCATGCGGTTGGGGCTGCCGTAGCTCGGGGTCTCCATGGGTCCCATTTCGGTCATCCGCATCTTGGGTTGAGGCTTGTGTGGTGAATACGGTCTATTGAGTTGTGGTGTTTGCCGAGCGGTGGAGTGGCAAGATGCACTGGGGATACGGAGAGCAGTGAGTAACCGGAGAACGCGTTCGGAGGAGCGAGAGGTGGCCGGTATCCAGACACAGAGAGGGCAAACCCAAGCTAAATTGCGTTGTGACGTGCCCCGCCCAATGCGTGGAGCGGTCGATCGAGTGCTCGATCCGCGAGTGGACAGTGAACGAATTTCTCACCGGAGCTGAACCTTGGGGTAGAAGCGACCGTCGCCATCCGTGCTTTGTATCAGGATCGACGACGGACTACAAAAGGCGTGACACCAACCCTGCCCCTTCTGCCTTATCTCGGAACTTTTTGGCCCACTCTAATTTGTGGTCTTCTTACAAACAACAAGACAAACGAGTTCAGAAAGATCAAAATCCGTAGAGCATAAACTGGAGTTTGGCGACCTTATTCCGGGTTTTGCCTTCTGCTGTTGTTCGCGGTGAGGACGCGGCAGGGCTGGGCAAACTTCCTCGTAGCAATAGCCCTTTGAATGATTTACGTACCGGTACTGCCTCGTGCTAGTAACTCTGATATTGTATGCTTCGAGCTTCCTATTTGGCTCTCTTCTCCTTGCTGCGTGCTCTTCGGGATAGGCATACGCGGGCGACAGCCTCGCGTCTTGTGCTCACTATGCGGCGCACAGGGATGGGGCTCACAGCGCACAAACGCTCCACCACGACCATCATCGCGCAGCAGAGCCATCCTCCATCTGGCTCGGCTTACTGGTTGCAGTTCGATCGCCAAGCGGAGAGCTTCCTCTTCCCGTCGATCGATCTGCCACAACGCGGCGCAGAAGGGGAGCAGCAACCTGCCGTGTTGAGTGCGCTAGGCAAGGAAGGGCCGAGTCTACATCAACTCAGGCCGCCAGCATCGACGGCGACCGAAAGATGTCAAGCACCATCCGTGCAGCAAGTTCCAATCGATCATCAAGAGCTTATCGACGCTGGATGGAGTGTCGATTGCCAGCATGTCCTCGAACAGATGGCGAGTCATACATGGCCGTTGAGTTCCGCCGTCCGCGGCTGGAATGGTGGAGCTGTCGGTGCAGACAGCATGCTCAATTTTGTGCGAACATGGCTTTCGCTGTCGATATCTTTCTTCGCCCCAGCAGTGGAGGCTTGTCTGCACCGAGCCGGACGCTCGACGTATTGCACCGAAACCCACGAGTGGATGACCAGGAATTTTAGACGTGCTGGCTCCCGCTGCCTAACTGTCGAGGCTGTCGCTAAGTTGACATTCTTGCCTCGGTCCTGTTACGCAGCGCTTCAAGCTCCACGACCTTAGTCGCGCTGGCGACGAATGTCAGCCTGACTGTCTGGACTTCCTTCAGCACCAATATTACAGATTTTGCTCGCGTCAAACGCCACTCTAGTCAGACCGCCGTGACGAGGCAGCGAGCGTAGCAGGAGCGACCACATACACCCATGCAACATAATTAACACTTCTTAATATCATCGCTGCGAATCGCAGTGCGATCGCATCCGGATAGCACTTTACCGTTGGCAGTCAACGCTGCTGCACTCATGCAGCAAAATCCGCTACATTTACGCTGGAGCTCGCAGCGTAAAAGAGCGCTATTCCCTCTAGCGTTTGGAACATCCGCCGATCGCACGCCAGCTTGGCAATGAGAGGACAGGGGATTGGCTCCGGCTGCTTCATGATGGCTCAGTGAGCCATGCGGTGAGCCGCTCACCGTATGGCGCAGCGAATCTTCAATTATTATACATGTACTAGTACAGCGCTTGATATCGTTTTCAGAATCATCGCACTATCGCAACGTTTGACATCTCTCAGAGATTCTCTGCAAGCAAAGCTGCCAACGGAGACCGAGTCAACATGCCAGCATCTCTTGTGCACCACGACAACGCAGGACTCGCCTTCGTCGTGACGACTCCTCAGTCACAACCGCACAATTTAAGATGGACGCCACATTGTGTCGCTTTGGCAAAACCAGGACGACAGAGCACTGCAACATCGTGTTCTTGCCAAGATCTGCCCCCTCGGCCCCAAGGTGGCGGATTGCTACATGTACATACGCACACGTACAGTATTAGGGCTGGTTCCTGCCCGGATTTCTGGGGACTAGGAACACTTCCCTCTGTTTTTATTTCATTTTTTAACCTCTATTGCGCTCGTTACGGTTCGGCATCTGCAGTCTCCGCAGATTTCTCCACGAGGTCCCAGTAGTGAACGACGTTCTTGGCCTCCATGACTTTGCGCGCGGTGACGGATGTCCGGCACTCCTGAAAGCGGAAATTGTTGAACGCCTTGCGAGCCACCACTCCTTGCCAGACCAATAGACAGCCATTGCCACGCTTAGTCGCGTCTTCGTCTTCGCTGTCGGACTCGTGTTCTGCCTCGCGAGCTCCGTTCCAGTCGATGCGCCGTATCATAAGCTTCGTGTACTGCTTAATGGCCTTCTTGCCTCCTTCCACCACCACCATGTTGATGTTGCTATCCTTGCAGATAAGTACGCCGCCAGTGAGATGGTACTGCTGAGCGTTGACATCGACCTTGAAACGATGTTGCGGGTTCGAGAGATCCGGCACCCTGTTTCAGTAGTAAAAGTGGAAGCGCGTTAGTCGGCCTGTCATGGAGTATCGCAACATGGAGAGCACAAAGCACGTACTTAAAGAGCGCCACATGGATGTCTCCAGCGGCATCCTCCTTGATCTTGCGGAGTTTCTTCTCGCGTCGCTCTTCGGGTGTGAGTTTGCGCGCCAGGTTGCGCATCTCGTGGTTCTTCTCGCGCTGCGCTATCTGTTCACGAACCTTGCGCTCGATGGCCGATGGATCTGCCACAGCCTGCTCGGACAACACACGCATCATATTCGACAGCTTCACCTTCGGCTCGGGAGGTGGCAATAAGCCTAGTGCGATCTTATCCTGTTTTTCCTTCTCGCGGTCTGCACGATTCTGACGTCGAATCTTCTTGCGTTCCTGTAGTGGTCACAAATAAGTAACAATATCAGTTGCTGGTCGGTTCAACAGACCAACAAACGAGCGACACGTACCACAGCAGTCAGCATGAGTGGCACCGCTACGGGTTTGTTATCGTGTCTGATAATCAAATTGAGCCGCGCTGGATGCTCAACAACGTGAGCAGTGCCACAATACTTGAGCTTCATGTCTGCATAGGACACGGTCACATCTGGATTCTCCTTGCGAGCTCTAGCCTTAATAAATCCAAACTTGTCCACAACAGCACGCTTGTCCTTGGGGAGGTACTCTACATCCCACCACTCGACTTCTGGGGTAGACATCTCTGGTCTAAGCGGGACGTCCATGCTGTCAATCTCCATGCTGCTAGACGTCTCGCCATCCTCCGGGGTCGGCTCGGTTGACTCGGTTGATTCTTCGACTGGCACAATTGACTCCTTCTGGTATCCTCGAGGATTACGGCCCGACGTGAACCCAGCCATCATCTTCTTAGCATCACGCGCGCGCACCTGCTCTGCCTGCTTCACGTAAGTGCCTTGTGCAACGAAGTTAAACGTTTTACGAGCACGTCTGATACAGACACAGCAACAAACAGTGATATGTCAGTACTGCTTTATGTCCAACATTTCTTTTGCCCCCCCCCGTACGTTTCTCGCTTGGTAACCTTGAGTCGGGGATCCACTGCCTCCAATTTGTCGTTCTCTTCCACTGTACGATGAGATAAATACGGGTTCTGGTTCTTCTTGACAGCGTCGCCACCCCTGGCACTTCCCTGATTGGCCCTGAGAGTCGCCACGCTTGGCTTCTTGACGACCACATTTCCTGCTGCATCGATCTCCCGTCCCTGTTCATCCAGCAGCAGCGGTGCCGGCATGAATGTCCCACTGTCGCCTGCATGAGCGCTCTGAGCTGCAACAGACGCAGCGGTCGCCGTAGAGGCCCCGGGCTTTCGCAACAGCTCCTTAATGTGGCTCATTTGACTCTGCACCGACTTGTAGATCTGATCTGTCCGTCGCCGTTTCTCCTGCTCGATACGGCTGAGCTCTTCCGGGTCTAAGTTCGCCACTGTGGCACCCAATATGGCTGCTGGTGTGGCTGCTGATCCGGGGATGGCTCGCGATATCTTTGCCGCTGCAGCGCGTGCCAGAGCCGCGGGATCAAGTGCAGGCGCTACGCCAGATCCCACCGCAGGTCTTTTGGATGCTGGTGCGTCTGAGTTCGCTGGGGCATCGCTGAATCTGCTCTTCCGCTTGCGCCGAGGCGCCTCGCCATGCTGCTCCATGGCCATGCTCGAGAATTGAGTGGAGGTGTCGTATTTAATCGAGTAGCAGCGCTACATGAATTACTAAAGGCTATTCTATCTAGCAGAATCGGCGAGAAAAAAAGCCAGCGTGAGTGTGCCGTTTGGCAGGTCGTTGGCCTCATACTTGTGGGGGTTGACCATGTGTTCCTGTGCTGTTTCGATGGTTCGGATAATGCTGTTGGAAAGGGTTGTTTTGTTCACCCAACGGTACAAATCCATTTTTGCAATACATGTCTCAACGCAAGAGCTGGTCAGACTTCATAAGTATCTGGCTCCTGTTAAATTTGGTTGCTGTGTTTGTATCTAAAATAGGCGTGCATCCATTGTCAGAGGATAAAATGGACCTTGCCAGATTCACATACGTACCTAAGACTCTTAGGCTAAGAGTCACAAGAGAAAAGAAACCGCGCACGGCAAGCAAAATTCGAGCCGAATCCCCGCTGTCACGAGCGACACGACGCAGCAGATAGCTATCCACACCAGCATGACGTCCAAGACGTCGAAGAAGAAGCCGAGTCTGGCTGAGGTGATGGACGAACTGCAGAGCCGCTTCCTGGTGAACCTGCCCGCGTCGGAGTTGGCCTCTAGCGAGCGCCTCTTCTTCCAGATCGAGCAGTGCTTCTGGTTCTATGAGGACTTTTACGCGGACCAATACGCGCATCTGCAGCATGTCAAGCTCAACGATTTCGCTCGGCAGATGTTCGCACACTGTCCGCTGCTGCGGCCACTCGCGCACCGCTGCGACGAGCTGTTCCAGGACTTCAAGACGTATCAGCGCCAGGTGCCCGTCGTAGGCTGCATCTTGCTCAACTCAGCACGCACCAAACTTGTACTGGTACGTAATTGGAAGGGCACGAGCTGGACATTTCCGCGTGGCAAAGTGAACGAAGGGGAATCCGATATGGACTGCGCACGGCGAGAAGTGATGGAGGAATGCGGCTACGACGTTGGCGACAATCTCGCGCCAAAGCAGTACCTGGAGCTCGTGGCTAACGATCAACGTATGCGCATGTATATGTGCCCAGACGTGCCGGAGGACTACGCGTTTGCACCTCAGACGCGCAAGGAGATCAGTACCATCAAGTGGTTCGCATTCGACGCACTGCCCAAGAAGACGTGGAGTGTCATGCCTTTTATGTCAAGATTGAAGCGCTGGGTCAAGGGACACAAGATGGCCAAGAAGAAAACCAGTAATTCCTCTCCAAACAGCACTGGACGTGCCGCTTCTGCTCCGCGGAATCGCCCGCTGACGCTGATCACGAACGGTGCTGCACAACACATCACAGAGAACGGTAAGAAGAAGAACCGACAGGATGAGCGATCAATCTCGACTCCCCACAACGACAGACCAGCTACTACCGGATCGAAGAAGGCCAATCGCGGCCACTTCGGCACGGAGTTCGACACAGCCACGTCCTATGATGGCTTGAATGACGAGACGTTCGGCAACGCGAAGAAGGGCTTTAGCGTGGAAGAGATGTTCAGTGTGAACGAGCGTCTGACGGGACAGAAGTTCGAGTATGATGGCAACCCACACGACTTTGGAAAGCTGACAACGCGACCAACTGCTACGCGAGCGACAGCTTCACTATTTAATCCGAAGGTCCCGACGCCGGTGCAGATCCTCAGGCGACCTTCGTCAGCGCCGTTGAAGCGCGTGGAAGAGGAGGCATGTCCGTCGCCCAGTCCACCACGTCAGTCCACGGGATCGACACCGTTCGGGTCCTTCCAGTTCGACGCCGTGGATATCATGGCCGTCGTGAACGTAACTTGAGAGTGGCGTCGACAACCAGATCGAAGGAGTGAACAACAGCCACATTGGTGGAGTGTCAGCTGAGAACTTATGGCATCTTGCTCCCGTTTGGCAGGCGCACGAATGCCCTACGACTCACTGGCTGCCCCTACTGCATTCAGAAGGATCGGGTCCTATCGATCAGGCGCCATTTCATGTTTTTGCATATTGTTTTCTAGCTTTGTACCATAGGAAAGCTGCAGGTCGCCCCAGTGCTCGTGGAGGAGAGAAGAGCATAACGGGAGACCCGTAGCAAGGTGTTTTTAAACACCGCCCATTGTAAAAAGAGATTCATCCTGGCGAGGCAGCAGCACATCAGCAGCATCAGCATGACATTGTTTTGAGGGCCACAGACGTGAGAGGGAACGACAAGAGGAGAACAGTTCAGCAAAGGCCATACGTGGCTTTAGTTATTGGCCGGTTTGCGTTGCGTGACAGAAGGGCTGAGTCCACGTCTAATACTGTAGCTACCGGTTTCCATCAAATCACCTCACTCGCGGCACATTTATTCACCAGGAGCGGTGGTGTATGAGATCCAGCAGACGAGAATGAGTTGCAAGCACGACACACTACAATACGCAAACACATCCATGAAAACACATGCACAGCAACGTTTACAGGCAAGCAAGTAAGAGCTCACCCAAAAAGCAGATAGTTCCGGAAGAGGCGGTTCTCAGAAGTGGGTTCCGCTACGCTTCCTTTCATGCAGTTAAGCTACGACGCACGACAGCAGCGTTAGACTGCGGGCAGAAGACATCAAATTATACTTAAAGTATAACTCACCGTGAAATAGGACACAGCCACACCAGTGTACAGTAGCGACACGTAGTAAGCGATTGAGCCGAGCAACTGGAAGACGACCGCATTGATTACCAACGGGATATACTTGTAGCCCGAAAATGATACCAAGTCGAGGAACGAGATGGAGCTGTTGAGCACGTAGAGGCAGGCGGCCAGAACTCCGATCTCGATCAACTGCATCACAAGACAGTAGCTCGCATCCTTGGTGATCACATCGGGGCTGAACCTGTTATTTTCACGCGTGAGTGCTGCTGTTTCGCTAAAGAGAAAGCTATTGTAACGTACTGATTCGATGTGCCCTTAGAGTAGCCCACAAGCAAAACATAGGTGAGAAATCCCATCAGCGGGATGTAGAGATCGGGTGCGTTGCTGTCACGAGTAGGAGGAGCGTATTGCATCTGAAAAAAAACGTGGTTAGAAGTACGCAGTTGCACTTTTCAAAAGCCACTCAAAGACGCACCAGCTTGGACCCGTCTTGCTCGCCATTGCCAATGCGGCGCCAGTTCTTGTGCCGGAACGGGAGCAGCAAGATCTACAGTAGTTTTAGCACGTGCGTCAGAACCAAAGCAAGCTTACCGAACAGCACAATAAACCCGTTCGTACGTTGAGACGACTCTTAACGTAAGAGTTGTTGACAGTGAAGTAGTACTTCAAGCTGCCCCAGACGCCATACGCTCCGGGTAGATACATCTCCGACTGCTTTTGCAAGAAATCTTGGGCACTGTTCATCGCCAGCCCTGCCATCGGGTTACTACAGCCAGCACCATAAACAGTCAGCATACACCTTTTTTCCACAAAAAAACATGCAGCAAAAATATGTAAACCTGGAGAACTGGTTGATAAAGTCCGCTTGTTGCGTCTGCTGAGGCTGTTGCATATGTGGCCGCGGGTTGCTGTTCGGCGGGGTCTGCTGCGGGGCGTTTTGCGCATAATCTCCGAAGTTGTTGCCCTGTGCCGGATGACGGTGTTGAAAGCCTGCGGGAGTCGACTGGAACTGCTGCTGTGCAGGAGGGACCGAATTCATTCCTGGTTGGTGGAACTGCACAATGTTGGTAAGCTTCAGTACCCGAATTATTCGATTCATTATGTCTGCAATTCACTCACGTCTTGAGTGAAGGCCGGAGAAGCCTGCTGGTTAAAGAATCCGTCCGACGTCGGAGCTTGCGCTGGAGAAGCTGAGGGCTTCTGGTAAAACTGGTGCGCAGGTCCGCGCTGTGGCGTGCGCTGCTGGCCCATGGCCGGCTGCGACGGGAATTGAGGAGCCGCACTGAAGCCTGGCGTCGCGTTAAGCTGCGCCGGTCGCTGGCGGTTGTTAGGGTTCTGGAATGAACCTGCAGATTATACAGACACAAGTGCATATAGTGAGCATGGGGATGCTTGCAGGGAGAAGCAGATAGCAGCAGCGTACCGGGTTGAGCCATGACAATCTTGCCTGAACTTCGTCGCCGTGTTTGGTATTACTGTGCGATCGACGTGGCAAAAAAGTATAGTGGTGTGGTGCACAAAGGGCCCGCTAATAGGAGTGTATTTCATTGTTGGTTATTTGATCAGAAACAACTTGAGTTGGTCACTGAAAAGCAGTGGAGCTGAGGAAAATGGCATTCCTCGCCGACGCCGACGACGCATTCGAGGCAGTATTGAGCTTCGTGGATGACTTTTCCACCGAGGAACATCTCCCGTACGACGCTGTAGCTGAAAGTATAGATCTCGAGGAGCAGCTGCGCGACGACGAGCTCGAAAAGCCGACGATTCAGGATACGCAGCTTCAAATCGGAGAAGCTAGTATGAACCCCGATGCTACTCCAGGCTTACGTCGTTCTTCACGATTATCGCAGCGAAGAAGTGGAAGCCGGACTTTGAGCACAGATACTTGTCCACCAAGCCCAAGGCGTCATTTGTCGAGCAATACAAAGATGAAGACGTTGCGCACAACTGGCATGCATGCAGACCACAACCATGCTCGCAATGAACGCAAAATTGAAGTTGCCTACCTGCGTGATAAAGTGGAGCAGCTGGAGACAGAGCTGCAAAGTGCCCGAAACGAATCATACAAGCTGGGAACTCTAAGCGCAACGAACGAAAATGACCATCGCACGTCGGAACAAAATGCTACTCTTACAAACGAAAATCAGCTATTTACTACGCTGAGTTCATGGGAGAAGATTGCCGCTCATCGGCGAAATGAACGAGAAGAGGCAGAGCGGGAGAACGTTCGGCTGAAGCTTGTTCTGGCAAGCCAGATTAAGGTGGCCAAAGATTTGGAGAGCATACTGCTCAAGCGAGCCCAACAACAGGTTTGTTATGACGAATCTATGAACTTTTTTTTTTCATCCGATTAGGTGGCCTACTTTTGTAAATGATGGCAATGCAGGTTGCCGAGTGCTCCGCTTCGATTAAGAGACGAGCTGACGTGGCTTGCCCTTCCGGCCACACCTTGGACTTCCGAGCTGATGCGGCTGACATCCAGGGACTGCTGCAATATCTTGACGATGCATATCGCCAAGTTGATACAGTCCTGGCTGCCAATGGTCTTGCTTGGAAGGAAATGACGCTGCACGACGTACAGATGCGTGAAGGCGTGAATGGGATGTACCTTGAAGTGTTCTCCAACAAGGTCTTGCCCTTTGGTCTGCATGCCACCGCGGAGGCGACATGGAACTATTTTAAGGGCTCAAAGAAGCATCGAGGCACTCTGTATGCGAAAGAAGCTCAGGTAAAGTTCATTTACAAAGATACCAACGTCGATATGTTAACGAAGTGGTGTCCTTAGTTTTTCTAATGCTGCTTCAATCATTTGCAGGATCTTGATACGCCGTACACGATCATCGAACACTTCTCGAAAGAGCTCGTCGCTGGCAATTCGAGCACGGATGTCCGTATCAAGCAAATCGTACGGCGGTACGTTGAAGCTCATCGCGAAATTGTGGTATGGGTGGCTTCAATTACACCCGTTAACGTCACACAGAAACCTTTCGGAAGGTTTACTTCGCGTCATCGGAGCTACGCTGTCATCAAGCGCGCCAAGGCTTCCACTGTGCAACACGAGTTATCGTTACTGCAACTCGTGTCACACGGGATGCTCGATACCCAAACCGGAACCATTTACGATCCCAAATACGTTCGAGCGCTCACTGACTTCCTGCTGAACGATGCAGCGCGTAATATCAAGGCTGACCAGCAGCTCATCGAAAACGTCCTCATGGACCAAATGCTGCATCCGTGACATATTTTTTGTCCTTAATACTCACTTTAAAAAAACGTCATAGAAATACCAACATTTTTGGGGGAAGGGCTCTTAGTGCCCGGCACTATTACACATCATGTGTAACACATGTACCTGTATCAGGTTTTGCGGTATTACCGGTAGTACTTTTGACTATGTATAATAAAACACTCGTTTACCCGTACCTCACAAAAGAAATGCTTAACAGATAAATTGCCAAAACACAAAAATGAAGCGTTTTGTTTCATTTAAAAACTATTTATTAACACCAAGAAGGCAGTTTGAAACGATGATTTTCATAAGGTCTCGAGGGCAATGCTTCTAATAATAGGAATCAGACTGGCATCTGGAACTCATTTCTGTTTTTGCAAGACACTATGAAGCGGTTTCTGCTACAGGATGCATCTCACGCTGGTTGGGTTAAAGCTCAAGAAGCACGTACTCAAATTAACACAGCCAGCGCCCAGATCAGACTTCAGAGCATATCCAGAGTTGTCAACAAAATCTCGCTCGAGTATTGACCTCAAAATTGCACAAGAAAAGGTGAATCAGCTGCAAATACGCAGGGTGTGTCAAGACATTGCTCTTTCGACCATCGACATGACATTGGCGCAACTTTTTTCCCGTTGACGACAAAGATATCTCTCGCATTCGGTCTAAAGCCCTTCACTATAAAACACTGACCTGGAAGGAGCGATCGGTAGTTATCTTTTACTACCTCCACCCTCTGCTTGGGAACAAGGATGCAGAGGTGACGTGCAGGGTATTTGGAGTTTGACATGCAACCTTCACCAATTGGGTAACGAAGCACTCATATTACCCAAAGTGGGTTCCATTTGTTGAGTTTATGACAGTGACCGTTCTCAATTCAATTCCAGTCGAATTTCGAGCAATTTTTGATGAGTCACAGCTCGACGTGGAGTCAGGTGTCTCAATACCAGCTCAATTCAGGACACCAACAACTAAATGCTATGTCACTGCAACCTCTCACCCTCAGCTGTCGCGTCAGAAAGTGGTGAAAATTGCCAAAAAGAGCGAGGGAGTGAAGTATTTAACAACTTCAGTCAGGACAGTAAGTGTTGGACGCAGTCTGAAGTACCCTACAGAGACAAACTTTCTTCTGGATAAAGTTAAGAAAGGTTGGGAATCCGGTAATCCAATGTCTCGCAACGAGATTTATCTGCGACTCATACAACAGTTTGGAAATGATGGCATTTTGGGACCGCCTAGCGAGTTTTGCAGTGTGATGAAGCTTAACGGCGGAGGAATATCGCCTGCGCTAGCGCAGTGGGTTCGTAGGCGCCTCGAAGGTGCCAACTGGAGCATTCGCAAAGAGAGTGTGTCTCAAAAGGTGCCAACTGATTGGGTTTCAATTGCTCTTGTAGCCTCACAGAAGATTCGCACCAAGCTGGACGGGTGTACAGTTTTAATCAATGCCGACGAGGTGTTTATCAAGTTCTTCCCTAGAGACACAGAGTTTGTGGTACCTACTGGAACGCAACGAGTTGGATCTAATGTGGCTTCAGATGCCAAAAAGGGATGCACAGTGATGGTTTCTGCAGAAATGTACTCCTCGAAGGTCCTTCCTCCCTTTATTGTGATGACCGCGACTCACAATGGCACCCTTGCTAGACGTTTTGCTACGCGGCGTGATGAAGGAGGTGATGCAAGCGTTCATTTTCAACCTTCACACTGGATGGACACGCCAACCGCAAAAAAGTACGCGGACTTTTGGTGTAGGATAATGCGTCCTAAGACACGTCCTAAAGTGTCCTATTTGTCCTAAATTTTACAGGGAGATTTTGGAGATGTGTCCTAAAAAGCGACTAATCCTTCGCTACAGAATATTATAATTTGTGTCCTCCATATTGTCCTAAAACTCAAATATTAACTTTCTTCTGGACCTTCTACTTAAAATTACATAAGCGTTACTTAATACACACATTAGCGTTACTTACTGTCCTAAGGCACACTACCAACCATTTATCAATCTCCACCACGGCAGCTAAGCACCATGGACCATCGCGGCTACTCCTTCTGCATCAAGCGCTCGTGTCCTGAAACAAGCACGGTTCACTACGTCTGCAAGCGGTTCCGCAAAGGATGCAAGGCTAAGATAACTGTCCGATCAGGTGCAGTTGTAGCAGACGGGGTTCTACATACGTGCGACGAGGCGGTGCCACAAGTCATTGATGTGCGCAGCGAAATGCGCCTAGAGCTACAGCGACGCAGCGTCAGCAACATGGCTACCCCTCCACCAGTTGTCTGGCAAGAGGTGTACGACGGGATCAAGCGCCGCCATGCTGCCGACGACGCCACGCTCACTATCATTCCATGCGCACCTGCCGTCTCTATAGTGAAGCAGACACGCAAGGAGTGTACGGGCGGTGATGTGTACGAGGCCATACTTTCTCAATCAGTACGCTGTGTAAGCGACAAGGACCCCAGGTCCTTTCTACAGTTTAGTGTGGCGTACCCCACACAGACGACCACCGGAATCCATCGCATGATCGGTTTTGGGCACCCTGATTTGGGTCTGATACTGCGGTATCCGAAGATTACCCTTTTCATAGACGGCACCTTTTCGGTGGTACCCAAACCTTTCAACCAATGCTTGATTGTGATGGCGTTTGAGCCTGCCGTCAATCTCTACGTACCTATTTGCTACGTTTTGGCTCAAGGTAAGTCGCAAGATATGTACAGCGTATCGAGGATATCAAACACCTCCGCCAGAAAGCCCCTCAGCATGCCCCACCAGCGACACTGGAGATTCCTGAAGACTACAAAAGGTTTGAGTAGATGCAGATAGAACCTACTAATACAATATTCCCATGTGTAATTGCTCTTGTGAATTATAGATGAATAATTGAATTATATTGATAAGACAGTAGAAAACTAGTAACGTTGTCCTAATAGGACAGTGCATGTTGGGTTTGATGTTGTCCTAATAGGACAGTAGTCTGAGTTGCTGTGTGTCCTAATAGGACATAATAAGTGTCGAGTTGTTGAGTGTCCTATTAGGACACACGGAGCCTGGCTTGTTTCGTCCTAAAGCACATTGTGGTGTCCTAAATATTGGATCGTTTATGAACCGATTGCTAGTTTTTTATCCCAGGTTTTAGGACAATAGGACACTTTAGGACACCTAGTAGGACGCATTCTCTCCTACCCGGACTTTTTGGTTAGTCTATACCCGGGTCAAAAAATTGGTCTCGCTTCAGCTCACATTTGTCAGGAAATGATTGACTACTTGAGAAAGGTATCATGTATGAATTTATTCCCGCTGGATTAACTTCTATCATGCAAATCTGCGATCTCTAAGCTGCTATTAAGAAAAACTTTATGCGATGGAAGGTGTCACAAACCATCCCACCCGGTGGTAAGTACAAAGTTTGTAACGGGGTACGTAGCCCTAAGTGTACCCTGGTTACATGAAGTGTGACACTTCACACTTCAGGAGTATGACACGTCATACTCCGAGATATTTGGTACAAGGTACCAAGGTCGTTCAAAGCCAACCATTGGTTAAATGACATTGCATTTCTATAGGTAACTAACAGTTTGTATTAAACCCAAACTTAATCTACCTATAAATATACTCAGTTTACAATCTACCTTATTTGGGTCACTTCGCTCTCTTTAATAAAAGAGGGGACCTGTGAACTGCCGTTCACTGAGAGTTTGTATACTCTCGGAAGATACCTTCCTCTTGCGCAAGGTGCTGTGTGACCCCGTCACACTTGGTAGCACTTGTAGTCAATCCACGCCATCGCGGGTAGACTACCTGAACCTCCGAAGTTCGTTGCCATGCATAGGAACGACTTCTCCCATTTGAACGACTCTCAGTTCGAGTCGGTTCGGAAGATGGCAGGCATCTTCGGGATGGAGGCCCTGCAGAGCCTGGTGGTGTCAACACCGGCTGAGCAGCTCAAGCGCGTCAATGCATTCGACGCGTACGAGCAGGGCCTCATCGCGCATGTGCGGGAGAACCTGCAGGCTCCGGCGGCGGAAGCAAATCCGCCTCACCCGAAGCCAATACGGCTGAAGGTAAAGCCGTATGAAGGGAAGGAAGGCGAGAACCTTCACTTCTGGGTCCGAGAAGTATAGCTCGCGATGGACGCGGCTCTGATCTCGACCGAGCAACTGCGCGTTGCTTTTGCACTCTCCAACCTTAGCGGTCGTGCTAAGAGTTGGGTGTACACTCGGGAAGCAACATCCCCTGGATGTTTCACATCCTGGGGCTTCAGCTGTGCGGAACAGCTCCCGAGACCGCGTTTCCTCCCGGGCGAAACTACGAGTACCCACCAGCGTTTCGCGCTTCCTCGCGTGTAAAACAAGGAAGGGCGCGATCTGCACGAGTATGTGCAAGAGAATACGGGAGCTCACGGCGTCCCTAGTGGGAAACCCACTCAATGAACACATCAAGATGACTGTGTTTCATGGACGGCCTTCGAGTGGGCCCCGCACGCACTCAGCTGTTCCGGGTGCAGGCAAGCACCCTTGAAGAGGCGATTTCAAGTGGCTCTTCAAGAAGAGTACAGCCATCGCCAGGCGCGTACGCCGGCCTCAGCGTGGCCTGGGAGCTCCTTGTCGGCTCCCGGTCGAACAAGCCCCAACGGACCAGTTCCCATGGAACTCGGGTCCGCCGAACAGCGTGACATCCGCTGCTTCGGCTGTGGGAAGATGGGCCACTTCAAGCGCGACTGTCCCGCGGAAAGACTCCGCAGACGGTCCTTCCCCAAGCCCGTCCTCAAGGGTCGCTGGCAGAAGCCAGGATCCTGGGGACAGGGGAACGCAGGGAATTAGTAGGGGCGGGGCGCCCTACTGGGGAAGAACTAAGTCTTCGTGATGGGTGCGCGGGTGGCGCGTACCACGGGGACTTAGCCCCTGAGAGTCTTCGCACTCTCGAATCGGCGAAGAGCAGCGGCGGGTTGCTCGTAGTACACGGATGTGTACGGGCATACGATCATCCCTTTAGAATCTTGATTGACTCTGGGGCG